GTCATGCTTCGTAGACAAATCTGTCTCTGTTCGTAGATATGGAATTATTGAATTTTTGTCTCATACATTAGAATTCAGTAACTGCCAAACGCGGATTGGACTATGACTGAATTGCCTTAATAAATGTACATTAAAAAGTGAATTTTTGTTAAATGATTGAAGAGTGATATGACCAACGCAAATAGTATTAGATAAATACTTCTGAATTCAAACAAGACACAAGCAAAATATAGAATCTAAGACGCCCACACTTTTCATCTATTAAAACCCTGAAAAATAACAATTAAATTAACGCTCACAGTTAATATACACGTGTCTGTGAAAACGGCTCCACTACGTGCCAACACCAACAAGCATTTAGAATAACTTCTATTATCCATTTCTAAACAATATATATGTAAGGATTACAAAAATATCCGAAACGTGTCAGGAATTAATTAGATACCATTCGTCCAGATATTTATATAGGTTCAACATCTGGATAAAAAAAAAAAATTGTCTGGAAAACAAATTTCTGAAAAAAATAAGTTTGCTTCAGACTGTCGAAAAAACCCGAAATTTTTTGCCACAAAAATTACATTGTTGCAATGTGTTTTTCTTAAAAAATAGATATATTCAGGTGCATGGTTTCAGCAGTAGCTGAAAAAAATCTGTTCTCAAAAATTCTCCCCGCCGCAGGCGTCGTTGGGTGCAAACTGATAATTGATAATCTCTGCTATAAAACGCCTTGTGATAAGTACATGACGCAATCTATCCACATAGAATATAGTTACGCGGGTGTATCAGTCAAACCAATCCGTTCATCTGACGAGGACGTGTTAGCTACCATGTGTTCATCCGCGAATCACTCCGCGAGGGCGTGTTACTCAGCAAACTTCTGAACTTTGCTCTGACAAACTTTGACCTCGGGGAATTCTAGTTTCAGCCATATTTGCTTGGTAACGAAGATAATAACACGACATACCTACATGGGGTGGGCACCGTTTGTTGTTGACATTTCGAATGGGTGAACTATTTGGAACAGTTTGTTAGTTTTGTTAGTGTTGTTTAACGCTGCACACAAAAATATTCCAGTTATATGACGGCGGTATCGAGCCTGATCCAGGCAATCCAGTACTAAACATCATGAGCATCGATCTACGCAATTGGGCTTCGATAACATGTATCAACCAAGTTAGCGAGCTTTATATGAAGCATGGGTTGCAACAAACAAACAAACAAACAAATATCATACCCGTGGTCGTGGGTTTTACGAATGTGGTAAGCATTTACGACCTGCAGGCACTACTTCCATATTAGCCGTGATATAACTAAAGTACTGTTCTAAGTATGGTAAACCCAAACTCATCCAATTTCTCTAAGTTTACTTAACTCCTGTCGGGTACCCATTTGTTGCTGGATAATCAGTCTACAATGACGGCACGTGTGTACAGCCCAACAAGGATATCTGTACCTGTGTTAGTCCCCTGGTTCGAGAAATAAACGACTGGACCAAACAATTGCATATTGACTAACTACGAATATCTACACCTATAAACCCATACCCGTATTGTTAGCCTGTATCTTACCGGGTTGATAGATATACATTGGAAGCACAACGCGAAGGTTTGTGTGAGATCTGACAAGTATAGTCTCCCCTGGCAACGACGTGCATTAATCATTGAATTATTTTTACCAGTCATTCTCACCGCTGCCAATACCAGATATGAATGTTTAGGTTCAAGGACATGATCACACTACAGGAGCCAAAGCAAGTGTGTCTGTTCACTATTAAAGCTTAGTTCCATCAAGTTCAACCCATGGCAATCAAAAACCTCAACCCCAAACCCAAACCAAGTCCATCCCATCCCATCCTATAACACACACACCCACCCCTTCCCATCCCATCCCATCCCCTCCCACCCCACTCCATCCCATCCATCGCCCCTCTGTCCCATCCCATCCCATTCCACCCTACCTCACTTCACCCCACCCCACCTCACCTCACCCAACCCCACCCATCGCCCCTCTGTCCCATCCCTTCCCACCATCCCATTCAACCCCACCCCACCCCACCCCACCTCACCTCACTCATCCCATCGCCCCTATGTCTCATCCCATTCCACCACACCCCACCACACCCCACCCCACCTCACTCCACCTATCGACCCTATGTCTCATTCCATCCTATCCCACCCCACCCCATCCCGTCCCAAATGAAACCTGATTTTCATATTCAAGTTGTTTTCCACCACATCGTACCTCGTTCTGCCCCACCCAAATGTAACCTCACAACACACCAATCCCCGCCCCAGTCCACTCTTAGTCACCAATACCAACCCAGATATTTCCTTGTTGAGAAGTTCCCAATCGAAACCGGTATTATTTCAAAAGCCACCTGCTGTGATAAGAGTCTTACAAATCCCCCCACGCTACAATCGCGTGTACCGTCGCCCACAAGAAGAGGTTAAAATAACCGTAGAAATGCAAACGTTGAATCTGTTATCAGGTCTCTCCGGGAACTAGAACACATTAATTACATTATCCTCCTTGTACCCCGGCCAAAGTGTACTGAGGTACCTTCAACACACAACTAACCCAAATGTGTTCAAAACAACTATCACGTGACATGGGAACAAAACCCACTCACACTTTCGTCTCCAGGAAACACTATCTCCAGGAATTATCTCCACTTGATACGACCCGCTGAAACACGTGAATCTAAACTAGAGTGAGTGAGTGAGTGAATTCGGTTTAACGCCGCTTTTTAACAGTATTCCAGTTATATCGCGGCGTGTCAGCTTAATATGGGAGGAAAGCCCGAAGTAATGCAGGTCTCAGACGTTTACCACTTCAGTGAAACCCACGAACACGGTTATGGTGCTGACAAACCTAGAAATATAATCAGGGCGAACCGGGGTTGGAACTCACAATCATAGGTTTCTGGCGTGCCCAAGGGACGCAACTCCTTCCCTCTGTGGTAGAGTAAAATATTCACATATTTGTTATGTTTCCACTGAAACATTCGTTTTGATTTATGGCTTTTGGGGGTTTTGAATAAGGAATGTCTGAAGTTATAATCCAAAGTCATTAATTTCTGTACAATATCACCAGAAACGCCTCTTTGCGAGGACACTGAGTGGTGGGGACAGTCTAGTGTTAAATGTGGTCGACTCTCATCATGGGTACGATAGTTGGGTATTACTGAGAATTATTTGCGTTGCATTGCTCAAAGCGGCGTACAAGACCTCATTTACTCATGTGTCAGTTATCCAGGGCACTCTGGAGGCTAGTCTGGAATTTGACCTTGCGATCACAAAGCAGGATATATAGATTAATCTTGGCGTAATTCATATTCCTAATGATAAATTATATAACAAATTAAATTATTGATTTATTTGGGATGAATTGCTCCAAGCGACATATAAGACCTCAATCATGTGTCAATTATCCAGGGCACCCTGTTGGCTAGTCTGGAATTTGACCTTGCAACCACAAAGCAGGGCATAGAGATTAACCTTGGCGTAACTTATATTCCGTGTGACAAAGGTTATCACAAAATAAGATAAGGGCTAATATTAATTATATTTGACATTTTCCTCGTTTAACGTCTTATTTTCACAATAAATAAGCAGGCGACATTCTATTGACACACTGGCTGTACCTCGCCATGCAGGAGGTGTCAAGGGAAATGGAGTGTGTGTGTGTGTGTGTGTGTGTGTGTGTGTGTGTGTGTGTGTGTGTGTGTGAGAGAGAGAGCGTGCGTGTGTGCGTGTGTGTGTGTGTGTGTGTGTGTGTGTGTTATAGCTAGTCCGGTCTAATGCCGATTTTATAGTGCTAGCTCACTGAGATACCATGCCACAGTTTAACATGAATACCCCACTCGGACACAGTATACTGACCCCGAGCCGACCAGTCCTTGTTTTAGCCCCTAAATGCTGAGCGCCAGACAGGGTAACAACAAGTACCATCTTTTAACGTCTTTTGCTATGACGCGGCCGGGTTCGAACCCCGGACCTTCCGCTCTCTGGGCGGACGCTCTTCTCGGTGCATCGGGCCACAGCCTACTCCAAACACAAAAACATGCCATAGCATAGACCTCTGAGACAGAATCCATAACATTTTTTTTATTGTACAGCTCTAAAATGATTGAATTTGATTTGAATATGTGTTTGTTGGATGGTTCTGCCAGACACGACGGACTGAAATTCCTCATATATTCAAAATTAAAAAGAAACAAGATCAATACCTATAGAGACAGGCGGGAAAAAGAAAGCATACTCTTGAAAACTGGATTTTACTAAAACATTACAAACGCTTTCAAAACGTTACTAGGCTGAAAACAGTCGCCAAAAAATTGCAAACCTGAGGTCCAAAAACACAACTATGATACCCGTATCAAATACATCACTTTTACCATACATCCCTGTCAGAGTGATGAGATCGGATTGGTCCACTTGATAAAATACTTTGTCTTTCATTTTTAACCAGCATCAAACATGGGTGTATACTTTGTGCCCGACAGTTTAGTGAACAACCCAAGAAGCGTTTAGCCGAGACATCGCTAATAAAAAACACACACACATTTAAACATGATTTACTATGGTCTTTTTGCTTTTAAGAATCTTGGTAGTTTTCTCTGTCTCTGGAGTTATTGTCCCCGTCATCACAAATATTTACTCAGACGCAGAAAAAACACATTTAAACAATATTAACTTTGACCTTTCTGCTTTTAAGAATCTTGGTAGTTTTTTGGTCTCTGGAAGTTATAGTCCCAGTCATCACAAATATATACTCAAAGGCAGGAGTTCTTGCGACAAACAAAACACACAGAGGATCGGTCAAACAATTGTACTGCTGTGTATGGAATTATATCACATAGAAAGAACAATGTCTGAGGGAATGGTAACAAACAACAGTCCATATAAGGACAATAACTTTTGACTTTGGGATGCAAATGTTTCATTACAAATCGAAGATAACAATGTCCTGAATTTATTTTTGTCTTTTACTTCTCACAGTGTTCGACGCCTTCGGTAAACCTACCGGCGGAATAACAAAGGGCTCTCTCTACTGGGTGGGGTCCTATGACCTCTGTGTGTCCATCAAGGCGGGACTGCCGGCGGGCGTCATTCTGGGAAACAGGACACTCACGACCCCTATCAAGTTCAATGGAAAGTTCTGTAGAGCCCAGTTCAGACTTCCGGATGCGCTGATCAAAAGTTTCAATGTGGTATGTAAAGTTTGAAGTTTTCAAGTGATTTGCTATCTCAAAATATACACGTCCAGTACCACGCATGCCATTACAATTCTGCTTCCAAAGTGCTTGAGCATTTCGAAATACACAACTGACGTTATCTTTAACTCAGCGCAAATAAGGCAGGAACAAGTATGCATGACTTCATTACAGCGCGTCACACATACATTGCGATGTCGCTAGGGTGAATCGTTGTCTGGTAATATAGGTTAAAGGTGTACGTATGACGTCATAAAGAATCAACGAACCGAATTTCGAAATATATTCATAATTCTGCAAACATCGATAAAGGTTCCAGATATCGACACATGGAAGGTAAACATTTCAGGCGGCACCTTTAAGACATGTGGTTGTTAGGACGTAAATTGAAATAAACTGCGGTAAAATGTAACAACACTACGGTTAAGTGTTATACTGCGGTAAATTGTAAAACTGCGGTAAAGAGTAACACTGTAGTAAAATGTAATAACACTGCGGTAAAATGTAATAACACTGCGGTAAATTGTACACTGCGGTAAAGTGTAATACTGCGGTAAATTGTAATAACACTGCGGTAAATTGTAAACTGCGGTAAAGTGTAATACTGCGGTAAATTGTAATAACACTGCGGTAAATTGTAAACTGCGGTAAAGTGTAATACTGCGGTAAATTGTAATAACACTGCGGTAAATTGTAAGCTGCGGTAAATTGTAATACTGCGGTAAATTGTAATAATACTGCGGTAAATTGTAAACTGCGGTAAAGTGTAATACTGCGGTAAATTGTAATAACACTGCGGTAAAATGTAATAACACTGCGGTAAATTGTAAGCTGCGGTAAAGTGTAATACTGCGGTAAATTGTAATAACACTGCGGTAAATTGTAAACTGCGGTAAAGTGTAATACTGCGGTAAATTGTAATAACACTGCGGTAAATTGTAAGCTGCGGTAAAGTGTAATACTGCGGTAAATTGTAATAACACTGCGGTAAATTGTAAACTGCGGTAAAGTGTAATACTGCGGTAAATTGTAATAACACTGCGGTAAATTGTAAGCTGCGGTAAAGTGTAATACTGCGGTAAATTGTAATAACACTGCGGTAAATTGTAAACTGCGGTAAATTGTGATAACTGCACTGCCGTAAATCCCTTGTCATTCGTTGATAAGACGGTGGTTGTGGATGGAAAGTGATTGTCAGCATCGTCAAATGTTGAATGATATGTTAGTTTAGACACACTGTGCTGATTCTGTTTTCATGTAGGATACACGTGGCGTTGCTCTGAGCCTGTCCTGGGGAATATGCGTGCCGGATTCATGCCACAGCAATGACATCGCTCAGATGTTTGACTTAGGTACGTCTTAGATACAGTGACTCGTGAAGATCCTGTGTAGAATGGGTCTTCAGCAACCCATGCTTGCCATAAAAGGCGACTATGTTTGTCGGACGAGGCGACTAACGGGATCGGGTGGTCAGGCTCGCTGCCTTGGTTGATACGTGTCATCGTATTCCAATTGCGTGGATCGATGCTCTTGATATCAATCACTCAGTCTGGATTGTCTGTTTCAGACTCGATTTGGCGTTAAACAACAAATAATCAAACTTAGATACAGTGATGACTCAGATCAAATGTATAATATATGAAAGTATAATATAACGATGTTTGACTTGTGTAAATCAGATGTAGCGATTAAATTGCTCAGATGTTTGACATAGTTTGACACTCAGGTGAACTATTAATGACATATTTGATCTAGCAAAGCACCATTATGATGTATTATTGATGCTGCGAAACAGCTGTGATGTCGCTCTGTTCTCTGTAGGAGTTATGAAAGGAAGAGGTATTGTTCCCCACACGGTCACCTGCTTCGAAGAAAGGGATCTCACCAAGGATACATCGGGTCTCGTCGCCGCGTAAGTACTTGTCTGAGTATGGTGGTCGTGCCTGTGGTCGTATTCCAATGATGGGGATGGATTGGCACATTACCAGTCGCCCAGTGTTGGATACATGGCAGAGAATACATGGCAGACAATAGCTTGTCCCTCTGTAAGGATTCGGAGTCAGAGTCCGTCCCCAGAACCCATACTTGTCTCACTGTGGGGAGTCAGAAACCGCCTCCAGAACCCATACTTGTCTCACTGTGGGGAGTCAGAATCCGCCTCCAGAACCCATACTTGTCTCACTGTGGGGAGTCAGAAACCGCCTCCAGAATCCCTACTTGTCCCACTGTGGGAGTCAGAACCCGCCTCCAGCCCACATACTTGTCTCACTGTGGGAGTCAGAATCCGCCTCCAACCTCATACCCGTCTCACTGTGGGAGTCAGAACCCGCCTCCAGCCCACATACTTGTCTCACTGTGGGAGTCAGAATCCGCCTCCAACCTCATACCCGTCTCACTGTGGGAGTCAGAACCCGCCTCCGGCCCACATACTTGTCTCACTGTGGGAGTCAGAATCCGCCTCCAACCTCATACCCGTCTCACTGTGGGAGTCAGAACCCGCCTCCAGCCCACATACTTGTCTCACTGTGGGAGTCAGAATCCGCCTCCAACCTCATACCCGTCTCACTGTGGGAGTCAGAACCCGCTTCCGGCCCACATACTTGTCTCACTGTGGGAGTCAGAATTTGCCTCCAACCTCATACCCGTCCCACTGTGGGAGTCAGAATCCGCCTCCAGCCCACATACTTGTCTCACTGTGGGAGTCAGAATCCGCCTCCAACCTCATACCCGTCTCACTGTGGGAGTCAGAACCCGCCTCCGGCCCACATACTTGTCTCACTGTGGGAGTCAGAACCCGCCTCCAATCCACATACCCGTCTCACTGTGGGAGTCAGAATCCGCCTACAGTGATCCATTCTTGTCGTAAATGAGGATCGGTTGGTTACATGTCGCCTTGTTGACTTCCCCAATGTGATCTAACCCGAGGGTGTTGACCGTTGTTCATCAACTGAGTATCGAGGGCGAGACTCGATGATCAGCATGTCGCCTTGTTGACTTCCCCAATGTGATCTAACCCGAGGGTGTTGATCGTTGTTCATCAACTGAGTATCGATGGCGAGACTCGATGATCAGCATGTCGCCTTGTTGACTTCCCCAATGTGATCTAACCCGAGGGTGTTGATCGTTGTTCATCAACTGAGTATCGATGGCGAGACTCGATGATCAGCATGTCGCCTTGTTGACTTCCCCAATGTGATCTAACCCGAGGGTGTTGACCGTTGTTCATCAATTGAGTATCGAGGGCGAGACTCGATTATCAGCATGTCGCCAGAATAGATCTGGAATATTGCGGACGTGGGTGCAAAACAATGTTCATTTACTCACCTTGCTAGCCTACAAGTCCCAGATAGTCACGATGGATGTAGCTGTCATATACGTCGTCATATCGCCAAACCCTTTTCACTCACTCACTCACTAAAAGAGGCAGACAAGACAAAGTTGTCACAGAAGTGATCACATAGACAAACCCATTTCACTCGCTCACTCACTCACTCACTCACTCACTCACTCGATCACTCACTCACTCACACACTCACTCACTCACTCACTCGATCACTCACTCGATCACTCACTCACTCACTCACTCACTCACTCAAACATCTTTCTTTTACAGCATTATCTTGCTGGTGTTCGTTGCCGTCGTTGTGTGCTCCACCCTTGTGGATGGAGTTGGCGACTGGATTAAGGACAACATCAAAACTGACAACGCTGAGAGCGACAACAGCTACGAACTGAGCAAAATCAACGGCAACGTTAACGGTGGCTACGTGGCCGATCCGGATGAGGGTAGTAGCCAGAATGTGATGGAGATAAAATCGGCTGGGGAGCTCCCCCCTGCCTACACCCCCCACAAGAACGACAAGGGTGAACTGGGAGAGGAGTACCTCAATGGCGGAGCCAGGAAGTTCAAGGACGTCGCTGAGGTCAAGATCACCAAGCCGTCAAGAGCACAGGCGAAGCCAAGACAATCAGGTACTGCTCTCTTTGCAAATACGGACCTTAATGGAACGCAAGCGACCTGGGTCCGTTCCATCAACTATCGTACTTTTACATTGACTTACGACGTGTCGCTACGATCACTTTGTGGAACGGGGTGCTGAGTATAAAGCGTATGCACATGGTCATCTCAATATTCAAGTGAGTGAGTATGGTTTTACGCCGCTTTTAACAATATATCAGCAATATCACGGCGGGGGACACCAGAAATGGCTTCACACATTTTACCCATGTCGGGAATCGAACCCGGGTCTTCGGCGTGACGAGCGAACGCTTAATCACTAGGCGCCCTCTCAATATTCAAAAACTATATACGTGAAGTCGTTTAAGTAAGACTACGTACAACTTTATGGATAACAACTTCTAGTATTCTATATTCTATCAACCAGAACTTGTTATCCACAAAGTTGTACGTTTTTTTACATACGTGAAGTCGTTGTACTTTAGCTGATTTGTTCTGATGAGGCAGTTTTAAGCTTTTGATATCCAAATTGTTTCGTTAAAAGGCCCCATCACACAAAAACTCGCAGCGCTACGACTACAGTTCTATATATGAAAAGGGCACACGTTGACATTCACCGAGGACGCCGTGATATAACTGAAATACTGTTAAAAGGGTCGTAAAACCAAACTCACTCACATTCATTATCTGTTGAAGCATTACCAAGCGGGTGGGGAAACTCATCTTCCCGAGGCAAGGGAGTTAACTGACTGTAAAAGTCCAGTTTACACCTTTGCCGAACAAGGCTGGAAAATCTGGGATCGATCGTAGCGCTACCAGTGTCTATGACGAGTTATGTCCCTTCTATGTCCCATCTATTGACCAATCAGATTCCACCTCTCATATCACTTGCATGTGTTTCATACAAAATGGCGGCGCCCAGTCAAAACGATCTCATCGATAATCAAAATCGTTTTCGTAAAATAAAGGGTCTTATTTCGCTAAGTGTATCAAATCACGTGAGGACATGGATTAAAAAAAGAAAAGATTTGGAAAACAACTGCTGACGCCGAGTTGGCGGTACACATGCATTGCAAATCCTGCAATTGGCCGAAATCTGCACGGCAGTTGACCAACCGGATGTCGATTTCATTACGCGATGTGATTGGACTATGCATAGTCCAGCCGAAATATAACTCCATAATTGCAGCCTATTTCGGCAAGGGTGAAAACTGGACTTTTATAGTCAGTTAACGCCCTTGCCTCGGGAAGATGGGGGTAACTTAGCGATTAAAGACTTCACTTGCCACACGGGAGAACTGGCTGCGAGTGCTGGTATTACTACGATGCATAAAGCTTCTGTGATATCGCCCGTTTCATTTCATTCCCAAATTCCCAAATAAGGCCACAACATATTGACGATTTATTCCCTGGATTTGTCGCAACCTATTTTCAAATATATTTGTATCGCAATGTTTCAGTGTGTCAGCAGCTGATCAAGGCCTTCTCTCTGTATACAAACATCCCCAAGATCTTAAACGGGACGAAGAATCCTAACGCCATCCACTGCCTGCACGGCATCAGGTTCTTCAGTATCATGTGGATCATCCTGGGCCACACCTACAACTACGGTATCCTCTCCGTCCAAGACAACCCCACCACGGGTGAGTACAGTCAGGGAGGGATGGTTGTCGATTGTCAGAAAAATAGGGAAAGTTGGGTAGTCGGCTTGGTGCAACTCGGAGACTTTGGGAGTCGGCTTGGTGCAACTCGGAGAGTTGGGGAGTCGGCTTGGTGCAACTCGGAGACTTTGGGAGTCGGCTTGGTGCAACCCGAAGAGTTGGGGAGTCGGCTTGGTGCAACTCGGAGAGTTGGGGAGTCGGCTTGGTGCAACTCGGAGACTTTGGGAGTCGGCTTGGTGCAACCCGAAGAGTTGGGGAGTCGGCTTGGTGCAACTCGGAGAGTTTGGGAGTCGGCTTGGTGCAACTCGGAGACTTTGGGAGTCGGCTTGGTGCAACTCGGAGAGTTGGGGAGTCGGCTTGGTGCAACTCGGAGACTTTGGGAGTCGGCTTGGTGCAACCCGAAGAGTTGGGGAGTCGGCTTGGTGCAACTCGGAGAGTTGGGGAGTCTGCTTGGTGCAACTCGGAGACTTTGGGAGTCGGCTTGGTGCAACCCGAAGAGTCGGGGAGTCGGCTTGGTGCAACTCGGAGAGTTTGGGAGTCGGCTTGGTGCAACTCGGAGACTTTGGGAGTCGGCTTGGTGCAACTCGGAGAGTTGGGGAGTCGGCTTGGTGCAACTCGGAGACTTTGGGAGTCGGCTTGGTGCAACTCGGAGAGTTGGGGAGTCGGCTTGGTGCAACCCGAAGAGTTGGGGAGTCGGCTTGGTGCAACTCGGAGACTTTGGGAGTCGGCTTGGTGCAACCCGAAGAGTTGGGGAGTCGGCTTGGTGCAACTCGGAGACTTTGGGAGTCGGCTTGGTGCAACTCGGAGAGTTGGGGAGTCGGCTTGGTGCAACCCGAAGAGTTGGGGAGTCGGCTTGGTGCAACTCGGAGAGTTGGGGAGTCGGCTTGGTGCAACTCGGAGAGTTGGGGAGTCGGTTTGGTGCAACTCGGAGAGTTGGGGAGTCGGCTTGGGGCAACTCGGAGAGTTTGGGAGTCGGTTTGGTGCAACTCGGAGAGTTGGGGAGTCGGCTTGGTGCAACTCGGAGAGTTGGGGAGTCGGCTTGGTGCAACTCGGAGACTTTGGGAGTCGGCTTGGTGCAACCCGAAGAGTTGGGGAGTCGGCTTGGTGCAACTCGGAGAGTTGGGGAGTCGGCTTGGTGCAACTCGGGGAGTTGGGGAGTCGGCTTGGTGCAACTCGGGGAGTTGGGGAGTCGGCTTGGTGCAACCCGAAGAGTTGGGGAGTCGGCTTGGTGCAACTCGGAGAGTTGGGGAGTCGGCTTGGTGCAACCCGAAGAGTTGGGGAGTCGGCTTTGTGCAAACATCCTATCAAAAAAATATTTGTAGTGGATAATTGCATATGCTGTCAACCACTAGAATATGCACATACCGCCCTCACATAGCTGGAATACTGTTGACTGTAGCACACTACAACGAGCAATTCACACTGCGTCACCACATATTCACACACGTGTATGTGTTTATCTATTCCAGAGAACCTACTTGACGCTGACAAGCTGTTCAAGCGCTTTTCCTTCCAGGGCATCCAAGCTGCCGGTTTCGCCGTGGACACATTCTTCTTCCTAAGGTTAGAATGAGTGCGTGAGTTAAAATTTAACGTCGCATCGGAATTATTTCAGCCATATAGCGACGAGACCAAGTTAATATATTTACAATTGAGTTATTAATGCAATTTTCTATTTATAAACAAGTTGTGAAACATATTTGAGAATAATATATTTAGAAACAATTTCTGAAACATATTTGAGTATAACAGTATTATATATACAGTTTTAAAACACGGGCTATAGGCCACCAGTAACCAAAGTTAGGCCACCTCACTGGGGATCATGGGGACTTACAGTACCTCTGCTACCGGCATGAAACCATATTCTGAAGGGCAGGGTAATGAGGGGAGGCAATCCTGAAAATGATGTATTCAATCCGCCATGTATACAAGTATTGTGTTGTCTCCAGCGGTCTGCTGGTCTGCTGTTACTGAAAGTCGGGGCTATAAGGGGAGGCAATCCTGAAAATAATGTATTCAGTCCGCTATGTATACCGTATTTTCTTGTCTCCAGCGGTCTGCTGATCTGCTTTCTGACCCTGAAGGATGTGAAGAAGAGGCCCGTCAACTGTGGCTACGCTGGAATGTTCTACTTCCACAGATACTGGCGGTAGGCGGGTATTTTCATGTCCAAATCCTTCAGTTTATTGTATTGCATCGCTAGAGCACCACAGTACACAGACAGATGGTGCATGTGGATGTGAAGCTTCGCCTATACTTGTTATTCAAGAAATAATTAAAACAACATTACATTATTAAACAATCTTGACCGGAAAGAGTTGCAACACTGACCCTGTGGTTTTAATATTAAAATCCCTCAACCAAAAAACAACAAAGACTGTTGTAATGCGAAAGAAAATGTATGCTGCAATTTGTTTGGCTGAAAACGTTGTTAAGTGGAATAAGTATGTTTCGTTTTTGTTTTTCGCAATCCAAAATTTGATACACTTGTTCCATTCGGATTTGCGAAATTGATACCACATAAATTAAGTACAAGGTTTGATATCAGAACAACTCTGAAAACTACGGAAAATTACTGATAAAAAACTTCTGTATTTTACAATGTCGATAATCATTATGTTTTCATATATGCGGATATTGTCGATTATTCGATGCCCGGAAATTTCATTTGGGACTGACCGCGTTAGCCGGACGTTTGAAATGTTACCAATTCCAAGCTATATCAGCGATGTTTAGAATTATGACACCAATGTTGGACTTTTATGTTGACAACTATTTCACCAATGTCAACAATTGTCAAACCAACGATGGCAAATGTTATTGATGTCGCTGTTGCAGTTGCGTTGTAGGTGTTAACAATCTTATCATCAATGTTGGTTATTGGCTTCAAAGTTAACGAATATGTTATCTGTGGTGACAACTGCGTTGTTGGTGTTAACAATCTTATCATCAATGTTGGTTATTGGCTTCAAAGTTAACGAATATTTTATCTGTGGTGACAATTGCGTTGTTGGTGTTAACAATCTTATCATCAATGTTGGTTATTGGCTTCAAAGTTAACGAATATGTTATCTGTGGTGACAATTGCGTTGTTGGTGTTAACAATCTTATCATCAATGTTGGTTATTGGCTTTAAAGTTAACGTATAAAGTTATCAGTGTTGACAATTGCGTTGTTGGTGTTAAGAATCTTATCATCAATGTTGGTTATTGGCTTCAGAATTAACGAATATGTTATCAGTGGTAACAACTGCGTTGTTGGTGTTGACAATGTCGACAATTCACATTATTGTTAGTAATTGTGGTGTTGATATTGACATTTGAGTAATCGATGCTGACACCATGTCTGTTTTAGTCTGACGCCCGTCTACATGATCGTCATGATGACGTTCTCGTGTCTGTACCGTTACTTGGGGGAGGGGCCTCTGTGGCCGGCGGAGTTAGCGGCCGCGGACAACTGCAAGCAGGTCTGGTGGACCAACCTCCTCTACGTCAACAACCTCGTTCACGTCGACGACCAGGTGGGTGTCGGCCCGACCCTTGGGCACCAGGGCCTCCTTTACGTACAGTAACAATCGAGCTGGATTTGTCGAAACCTTCCGGGTCATCGGAAATGTATATCGAGATATCCATAGTTCGAGCAAATAGAATATCGATGATACCGGCATGATCTGCCAGAACCTCAAACGCTTATGGTCTTTTCACGATATGTTCGAGTTAAGGAGCATTATTTCTGTCTTGCTACGACGCCAACAGCAGAGAATGACCAGGGTCACGTTGTGCCCATGTTGATATGCACAGCTGTTGCGCTGACAGACAAATGTGTCATTTTGGGGTGAATCATTGGATTCTGGAAGAGTATTCATAATGTTAATTCGTAAGAGGCGACTAACGGGATCGGATGGTCAGGCTCGCTGACTTGGTTGATGCATGTCATCGTTTCCCTATTATGGAGATTGATGTCGATCACTGGAGTGTCTGGTCCAGACTCGACTATTTACAGACCGCTGTGATATAGCTGAAATATTGTTGAGTGTGATGTTAAATAACAACGCAAATCTTACTATTATTCTTGGTCAGGGGAACATACTTATGTCAGGTACTGTATATGACATTTCCCTCCCACAGTGCATGGGGTGGTCGTGGTACCTGGCAGATGACATGCAGTTCTACATCATCTCCCCATTCTTCATCTTCCTCCTGCATCGGTGAGTAGTCAGCGAGACAATGGGTACGTCACTCATGAAATATACTGATAAAAAAAGTTAGGGATCAATAATATTTGGGGGGAAGAGTGAGCAAAATTCAACAAATGACATGATGCCAAACTATATATCTATATATAGTATATCAGTGTTGTTATAAATTGATGAAATAAACATCAGGCAAATATCCTCTACAATGTTATCTCTGTTACCACAGCATCCCCGTCGTTGGTATCCTGGCAACCGTCATGATGATGTGTGCAGGCGTTGCCTCTTCCTTCGCGAAGGAATACAAGTTCGGCGGAGACATGTTCAGGTGAGCTATGGTGAACTAAATTTCACTATGCTGACCAAAACTAATCTAAAGAGTATTAATACATCTCAAGTTTGAACCAACGTTGGAGTGTACAACGATTAGTTGGTTGGTTGGTTGTTCAACGCCGCACTCAGCAATATTCCAGCTATATGACTGCGGTATGTAAATAATCAAGTCTTGACCAGACAATCCAGTGATTAATATTATGAGCATCGATCCACGCAGTTGGGATCGATGACATGCATCAACCAAGTCAGCGAACCTTACCACCCGATGCCGTTAGTCGCCTCTTACGACAACCACAGTCACCTTTTACAGCAAGCATGGGTTGTTGAAGACCTATTCTACCCCGGATCTTCTAGGGTCGTATACAACGATAAAACTGTACTTATAAATCAGATACGAATAAGGATCGACCCCGGACCCAAGGGACATATTAACCATTGGGCTACCCAACCGCCACCTAATGACATCAAAAACATGGGGGGAAAGTATCAACAGTTAAACTGGAGATATTTGGAATATGATCAGAACTATTTTGTTGATCATCACTGTCAGTGCTGACTCTCAGTCAATATGAATGTATTGTTAATACAAAAATCATACCAGTCGCTGATACAAACATGAATATTCTGCGTTGAGAAGATGAGTAAATTAAAAACGTCAACGCCATTAATATATTTTTTTGAATCGGTAATGACGTGGCATGTTTTCATTGGCTTACAGGATGAAGGAGAATCCCCACTACTGGGCGGACGTGTACATCGTCCCCTGGACTCGCGTCGCCGCCTACTGCGTCGGCATCCTCCTTGGCTACATCATGTTCAAGAGCAAGAAAGGGTCGCTGTCGAACGTAAGCATCTGATTGGTTGAGCACTTTTAAATGATTTGATTGGATCGGGTACCGGATATCTCGCGGACTTAAACTGAATACCTTATTGAAAAGAATCGTTTCTTTTTCAATTCCAAATTTGAACAAAACGGGCCATTTGGATTGGCGAAATAAGTACCGCAGTAATTATGTATTTTTTTTAATCATAAATTATCAGAACAATTTCGAGTTGGTTGTTTTTCTCCGTTAACCTGTTAATCGGTTAACGAGGCAGATTCAGTTGTCACGGAAGCACGTATTGTATCACGAGGTCACAGTATTCCAGAGTGGCGCGACGCCAAGTTTGTCTCACAATCATGAGAGTCATGGATACGGACAGTGTCAAAACACACGTGAAAACAATCTACTATATTTGCAGTATTGACGTGTTTGTATTTTAGTCAGCTGATGAGTGTGAGTGAGTTGGGTACACTAATCGTACACATTAAAACAGTTCTTATCACACCATAGTGTACCTCATCTTCCCGAGGCAAGGGAGTTAACTGACTATAAAAGTCCAGTTTCCACCCTTGCCGAACTAAGCTGGTATTATGGAGTTACATTTTGGCTGGGCTAACGAGTCTATGCATAGTCCAATCAAAATCGTGCAACGAAATTGGAATCCGGTTTGTAAACTGTCGTGCTGATTTCGGTCGATTGCAGGATTTGCAAAACATGTGCACTGCCAGCTCCTTGTCAACAGGTATTTTCCAAATCTGTTCATGATTTTAATCAAGGTGCTCACGTGATTTGATGCCCCTTCGCGATGTAAGGCCCGTTTTATCACAATATAGATCTTGATTATCGATCAGATCGTCTTGACTGGGCGCCGCCATTTTGTTTGAAGCAAGTGCAAGTGACACGAGAGGTGGAATCTGATTGGTCCATAGGAGAGGTTTAGAAGGGACATAACTCGTAAAAACCACTGGCGGCGCACAGGAATTCCAGCCTAGTTCGGCAAGGGTGGAAACTGGACTTTTACAGTCGGTTAACTCTCTTGTCTCGGGAAGATGAGTGTACCCGAATAATGTAGTTTGAAAATGTGATGTGTTCAATGTCAGTATAAAACGTCAGCACCAGAGAATAACCAGTCTCAATCATCCGTCGAAACAAATTCCAATGGGCGCAAAAGGCAAAATAACGTGAAAATTATATATGAATTGATCACTGAAAATCGGTGGTGGCAACTGCTGTTCGCGAAATTAGAAAACTGTGTTTTCAAACGAAGCAGCTTTCTTATATAAAAAGTGGGTGAGCGAGTGACTGATTTGCGTTTAACACCGCTTTGAACATTATTCCAGTTATATCACAGTGTGTCAGCTTAATGTGGGAAGAAAGCCCGAAGTTGTCAGCTGATGAAATGAGACCGTTAAAAACTCTCGGAGGTTAAATTTGCCCAACTCCGTAACTGTAAAACAAGTAAAACTGACGCAACTATTGGTCATTATGCAAAGTTTATAGTGAAATTATACATCAATCATAACATGGTCTAAGTAAGAGAAATCAATCCCAGTCTGTTGAATCTCATGATTTCGCCAATACGTCGTGGTGCCTAACGTTTTATCCTGAAAATCATACAACGTACTATGGACTATTTTACACTCCGTCATGTGTATGACATATTTTGTTTTTGTTTTGTAGACGAAAGCTCTGATTGGCTGGATTCTGACGTTCGCTGTTGGTTTGACGTTGTGCTACGTGACGTATGACTACCGTGCGGAAGGCAAGGACCCATGGCCGAGGTGGGGAACGTCAATTTATGAATCGTTTGGGAGACCCCTGTGGGCGATGTGTGTTGCCTGGATCGTCTACGCTTGTCACAATGGAAAAGGGGGTACGTATTGACTACTAGACCAATATCATCTTCGCAATATCCTCTCAGAAACTGGAACACGGAGTGTTTGTTGTTTTCACTCTTCAGTCAGCATATTGCAGCTTTATAACAAATGCGGACTGACCCCTGCGCATAGCGGATGTGACGTAAGGCGTCGTAACCTTCGGCCTTCACGTTCCTTTAGGCTGACATGTAGTCCCAGAAATAAAGTTATCTTATATATATAAATAAATGTACAAAATTTAAAAAATAATTATATATAATCCAAATGGAGCCCAGGCCGCTGAGGCAATCTAGACTTGACAAATCATTCTAGACTTGAAGTGGACTCAAGGATCGGGGTGAGAGACTGACGTTCCTCAGACGTCCACATTATCGTGCACTCTGATGAGTTCTGGTCCGTTTCATTAAGCGATCTTACCACGGGGGCGGTGGAGTAGCCAAGTGGTTAAAGCGTTCGCTAGTCACGCCGAAGACCCGGGTTCGATTCCCCATATGGGTACAATGTGTGAAGCCCATTTCTGGTGTCCGCCGCCGTGATATTGCTGGAATATTGCTTAACACCATACTCACTCACCCTTAGTGCTACGCCTGTCGTAACTCACTTGCCATTGTCGAAGCTAAGATCGCTTTGTGTAACGGGGGCATAACTCATTAGCAAAGTTAGAGAATAACAAATATGACAAACGGGTTTCAAGGAATTTTGAAGTATTTGTCCAGAGTGAATGTATTCTGAGCCCCGGGCCCTAGGCTCCAGAGGCTCCAGAGGGACAGATAACTCGCAATTCATAGTTTCGTGGAGGTCATTCTGTTATATTATCCCCTGGACAAAAAACCGAAAAAAATGTTTTGTCAATCAAACAAAGAAAGACTATTGCGACAATAACTTCACCTTGTTAACGTCATAAACAATGGATGACGTCACACTGTAAGCCTATGTTAAAGTATGGGGTTAAGATAATCTTAGCGCTAAGATCGCTTTGTGCAAGTGGGCCCTGGAGAGGTCATCAGTAAGACGTCATAATGCCCCAAACCTAAAATACACCATTGAGAACATCTCAAATATAGAAATGCTTAATCTGTATTTTAATTTTCTTGCATGGGACAAATTAGGAACAAAAGATACTCAATTTAGGCTCTGGTCCGGCACAACAAAGAGATGTTGGCGATACTGCTACCCTTACAAAAGTCTTTGTTAATGGCAATGTAAGAGGAAACGGTGACTCCCAGTCACAGAGCCTGACCACCTGATCCCGCTAGTCGCCTCTTACGACAAACATAGTCACCTTTTACGGCAAGCATGGGTTGCTAGAGACCTATTCTACCCCGGATCTTCACGGATATCAAGGTTTATCAGCACGGTACCCTTGCTCGGGGGTTTCAGCAGACTGATAGACACCTAAGATCTGTGAGAGACCTTGTATTAATTTCTATGTCGATCGATATCCAATACACCAATGTCAAGATTGCCGTGACATCATCTGCTTCCGGTTGCAGGCATCATCAACAACATCCTGTCCTTCAGCGGCCTCATCCCGCTGTCGAGGCTGACGTATGCCGCTTACCTCCTCCACCCCGTAATGATGATCATCTATGTCTTCGGCAAAAAGTCCCTCATCTACATCAGCGACTACGACATCGTGAGTGTCCCATAGTGTGTTATGTTGACAGTAGCTGCAGCAACGTCGGTGGTAGTAGAAGCTACAGTTATCGATTTTGTTTGTTTGTTATTTGTTTAACGCCGCACTCAGCAATATTCCGTTCTGTAAATAATCGAGTCTGGACCAGACAATCCAGTGATTGGCATCATGAGCATCGATCCACGCAACTGCATGCATCAACCAAGTCAGCGAGTCTTACCACCGATCCCGTTAGTCGCCTCTGGCGCCTTTTAGAACAAGCATAGTAGCCTCTTACAACAAGCATGGGTTGCTGAAGACCTATTGAAGCACTGGTAAAAAGTAGTAGTAGTAGTGGTAGTAGTAGTAGTAGTAGTAGTAGTAGTAGTAGTAGTAGTAGTAGTAGTAAGGGACTGGTAGCCGTGCTCGTAGCAGGTGAGCTATGAGAACTTGTGTCAGTGTAACAACATACGGCGCCACAACAGTAGCAGCATTACAGACGGGGTCGTAGTCGTGGAAGCAGTCGTATAACCAGCTGCTGCAGCATGTCTATATCTAGCTTGACGTACCATTAGGGATTCGAACCTGGATCTTCAACACACTGACCGTTAGGCTGCGTGGTTTTGTTATGACTTATATGATCTTATGGGGAAATGTTGTAGGGACATGTTGCAATTGTAAGATCATAGAGTGTCAAACATAAAATCTTCAGATATACGACCCTTGACCTTTCTCATATGTCAAGGGCTTTCAGCACTGTGATTATGTCTGTATTAAACAAAGTCAACAACATATTCTCATTTACGTCACGTTGTTTTTGGAGTTGGTTATTTTTGTCATTGATTGTGCGTTTACATTAACGTATCACGTGATATCAATTGTGTTTCAGGCCTACCTGTACATGGGTCACGTGGTCTGTACCTACCTGGCGGCGTTCTTCTTCTCCAGCATTTTTGAAGCACCGTTCCTCACACTGGAGAAGATCCTCTTCCGGCGAGGCGGCCATTCAAGCTAATAATGCATTTCATTGGTCAAATTACACCTGCCTTGGAATTTCAACCAAGCATAGAACGCGTACTGTATGTGAATTACGATGACGAATGACACTATTTATTTGATAATCGTCGCGTGGCATATTTTAAACTTGTATCATAACATACAAAAATCCCTGCATATTGTGATAAACGATAATGGCCAGTCGAACCTATGTTGTAGTTTGAAGTAACTGTAGATTTCAAACATGAGTACTTAGTTATGTGTCACACTGACCCAGTTACAGAACAAGAAACAAAAACAAAGGTCAGTGTTTAGGGTTTGGGCCATGTTGTTACACGTTGCGTAACTTGTGCACATGAGTATGACCCGTTTCTATGTATAGATATAGTGATCTGAAGAATTCTTCGTCGTTTTCTTTGCATGTTTTTTTTAACAATGTTTCTGTTTGTTTGTTTGTTTGTTTGTTTGTGTGAAACCCGATATTGTGGACATCAACTGTTGGAAAATATCAAATGCATATCCTGTACAATTATTCATCGAAAGTTTAATTATTGCACAATCGAAACCAAAAAAATCTGCCTGACAATGCTGAATTTGAACCATATTTGACAAAAGAGGTTCTTTAACTTGAACAACCAGAGTTTAACCATGAAGCGTTTAGGGAAGTTTTTATTGAGTTGAACCATGAAACGTTTAGGAAGGTTTTTTATTGAGTTGATTAAAAATCATAAATAATTTTGTTTTTAATACAAATAAGAGTAATTTGCAACTATTTCTTTGCAAATCTTTTGGTTCAATTAAAATTAAAATTCGAAAATATGTTTTTCAGAGGATTAACAGAAATGATCGAGCCGGCTTCAAAAAGAATTACGCGCGCGATTTCGATCCCCGTATTACTATTTTACGCATGCTTCCAGCTATTCTTATATGACACTCGGTTTAACAGCTGTCTGAATGTCGCAGGCGATGAAGACTAATCGGTGAAATGTGTTTTATAAAAACAGGATTTTAAAGCCATCGGAAGGCACATCAACATGGAAAATTCATGTACAATAGGAATACCGACGAAAATGGGGAAACTCCCACGTTCTTTCGCGATTTAGCCACGAACATTCTGCTCTATTTGAGATGTGAATGGACACTTATTTCCGCTTCAGACTCTTCCCGGGAAAAAAACTTGAGAAAATCATTTGTCCACTCAGGCCGTTTGTGGACGATTTTATCACGGTTCTTAAAAAAAAATGATAATAATAATTGGGATCTCTGTCAATAAACGTTGTCGTGCGCATCTGCCACTTTAATTTCGGATCCCCTTCATGTCAGCCCGCTTTTGCTCTCGTTTGCATTGTCGCGTATACACGGTAATCCTTGGTGCCGAACCCTTAAACCACACGTTGTGCGTGTTTTGTAGAAGCAACAAACCTTCCAAAGACGCCAGTTGGCAGAATGTTCGGATCCTCCTTGCCTTGCCTTTTAGTCAGTACTTTCGTCGTCCATCTCGTAAGCTTGTACATTAATTCGGATTTTCTAAGGCATCCGAACTTTTAGACCTCGTAGGCAAGCTTTCCGTCGACCGATAACTAGGATCCGAAGTTAAAAAATTTGACCACCACAAGGTAGTTCGATCCGATCAATGAAACCTTTGACACAACCAAACCTAGAGATCCGATCTTAAGGACATTTTGCGCCCAGTTTTACAGTTTAAGTTTCCCCTTCTTTCTTTCAGTAAAGTGTGAAAAATTATTATAACGAAAAAGGACAAAGAACACAAAATAAATTATAGGTTTTGTTGTTAGTTTTGGTGAGGGAGTTTGTTTTGTTTGTTTGTTTGTTTGTTTATTAAACTGACAGTGGGTAGGGTTTAACGCCGCTTTGAACAGTATTTCAGTTAAATAACGTCGTAGTTACACTAACATACATAATACAACTCTAAAAACACAGAAGAACATTTGAAACTGGTAGCTTTCATGACGCAAATCTGCAGGGTATATTGATTTGTAATCATTTAATATATGCTGTAGTTTGCAAGCCAACCACGGTTACGCGTGATGGGAGGTGAGAGCAAAAAATGAACTTGATTTAGATGTTTACAATATATCTGAAAGTCACTTTAAGTACTGTTATAGTATTATAGATTTACTGTTATATGTTGTATGTACATGTGTCGTACTCGCTGTGATATTTGATTCACCCTTGTGCATGTGACGTCGTGTTATCGATCTCTATATTTCAAAAATAGGGATATTATATTTCAAAATTTGATATATTTATATACAAATGTGATATTTTTTACTTCTGTAAATAATAGTTTTGAGGGGTTTCAATAATAATCTGTACAATAAAACATGTCTTTATTCTTCAAAGTATTAATTGTTGTACATGCAATTCGATGTAAGTATTGATTATGTCCGGATGTAAACCTAACAAAAAACACGCTTGTGTTCATGGAAAACTTCACCACTGATTAGGAAAACATTTTGCTTTTAGTGCTTCAGAATTTATTAATGATATATTAAACATAAAATATCATTGTTGTGATTCTTTGTATATAGAAATGTGTTTTCTTATGTTTTGACCCTTTGCACAAAGCGAACTTACAGCTGTTGCATGTACATGTAAAAAGTATCAGGAGATACTGAAGTCGCTTTGTGCAAATGAAACATGCTTATTCCCATCTTCAATTAACTAATAAAAAACCCGAAGATAAACTGTTATTTCTGTGTTTTTTTCGCGAGTAGATCCAACACATGTACTGTTCATTAACTTCAACACATATTTGTAATTATGAAATAAACTGTAACCGCCTCTCAAGTCAGTGAGTGCTTGAGTTCATGAGTTGGATGGCTTGTTGTTTAACGCCGCACTCAGCAAATATTCCAGCTATATGACGGCGGTCTGGAAATAATCGAGTCTGTAACCAGACAATCTAGTGATTGACATCATGAACATCGATCCACACAATTGGGATACGATGACGTGCATCAACCAAGTCAGTGAGCCTGACCACCCGATTCCGTTAGTCGCCTTTTACGATCTAAAAGACCAGTTGCATCACGGCGGCCTGTGATCGATTCAAGGTCGGGAAAACCAGAAGTTGACGACATGATCAAGGTTTCACGCCGTTGATGCCATACACTCAGCCAGGCTATACAATGGGACCGCCCAGGTCCTCATTTCGTTCCACGTTTCCGACACCTCAGGACAAGTTCATCATGAAGCGACACAGGCCACCGGCACTGGGGCGAATTAGAGAACATTTGTGAGATATATTCTGGACTGCATTTTTTTTCTGAACACCAATGCCATATTGTCCGGTTTATTGACATTACTTTCAGTGAAATGAGATCAATACTGGTCTAATGACACCACTTCTGGTCCTATGACATCACTTCCTGTGTAATGACATCAATTTGGGTCTTACGACATCACTTCCGGTCTAACTACATCACTTCCCGTGTAAATAGATCACTTCCGATCTTAGGACATCACTTCCGGTCTAATGACATCTTATTGCAGCCAAAGTGTCCAGTCTGATGTCACTTCCAGTCTTATGACATCACTTCTGGTATAAAGACACCAATTTGTTACATAACATGACCTCTGATAAATAAAAATGCCTCTGAATACATTAATGAGAGCATTCGTGACTAACTCGCGTTCTTCAGGGCCCACTCGTGGCCGTTTTTGCGACTGGGTTCCGTCTAAGCGAAAAAAGGGCATAGGTGAAAGAATTGTCAACTCGTTGCTTAATAATTCACGTATATTTTCAACATATAGCATAAGTATTCCAGTTGCTATTTAAACACAAGGGGACTGACGGTATTATGCAGGATTGTTGAACACATAAAACTGTATCTTGGATACTAGTATTTCTTTAGATGCAAGACATATGCAAAATCATAAGTTATTCCTGAGGGATTCGTTGATTCTTTAAGATATACGCGTAATCCATTTTTCGCACATAGCATTCGTTGATAGGGGGGACGAGTCTTCTTGCAGGTTTACTGAAGGGGGAGTGGTGACAAAAGTAATGAGAGAGAAATATGCATTTCCGGTTTAACGGCACCACTTTCAGTTTGGGTGAACACATACTCAATACATAACATCTAGTGATGCTCCATGACTCCAGCCACCATTATATGAATAACGTTTTCAGCAATTCAGTCTCAACAGTAATGACAACATATCACACCATGTCTGGATTGTGAAAACACATGCCCTGTGGTTGGTTGGTTGGTTGGTTGTTTAACGCCGCACGCAGCAATATTCCAGCTATATGGCGGCGGTCTGTAAATAATCGACTCTCGACCAGACAATCCAGTGATTGATATCATGAGCATCGATCCACGCAATTGGGGTCGATGACATGCATCAACCAAGTCAGCGAGCCTGACCACCCGATCCCGTTAGTTGCCTCTTACGACAAGCATAGTCGTCTTTTACGGCAAGCATAGGTTGCTGAAGACCTATTCTACCCCGGATCTTCTCAGGTCACGTGCCCTTTGAAGTAGAATTGTAAACCAAATTGCCTCTGGTTACCTTAAAAAGAAAAGTAATGTGCTCTTGTTGGTTACTGACATCACATCAGTTTGGGAAACATATGCTCAATGTATTACTTCTTCTAATACAGCAAGCCCCATGCCTTCAGCGGTCATTAACAACGTTTTGAGCATGTTGACCGCACTGCCACGTCAGGCTGTCAGACGCCCGGGGTGATTTTAAGAGCGCTTCAAATGGATGTCTCGAGACACGATACACGACACAGGGACTTGACACTATTTACATGATTGAATAACAGGATTTGGGATACTGTAATTGTAAGGTTTGGAAGACGTGTGGACAACACTGAACCTAATATTATTACCACTACTACAACCACCACCACCACCACCACCGTCACCACCACCACCGTCACCACCACCACTACAACCACCACCACGCGTCTTCCAAGTCCAAGTCTTACAGTATCCCAAATGGTGTCATTAAATTATGTAAATAGGTACCTTATATACTGAACAACAAAAGTTCCCGTGACATTTAATAAGATTTAATGCAAAGTTATGTTTTTTACCAAATCTGAAACAATTTCGGTTTGCAACAGATAAAAGACTCATGTAAGTGTTCAAATGGTTTAATTTGCCAAACTGACTTCAGAAAATGCGTGATTTCATTAAAAAAAACATGAACATGCCAAAATGTCAATTTACAAATCAATAGCGTGTGTGTCCACCTCTGGTTGCGATGCAAGCAACACATCTTCATCTCATGGAATGGACCAAGCGTCGCACAAAGTCCTGTGGGATATCTGTCCATTTCTGCTGGAGCATGTTGATAAGTTCCTGGAGTGTCTGTGGAACACGTGGTTGACGTCGAAGGCGCCGATCCATCTCATTCCACATGTGCTCGATTGATGAGAGATCAGGGGAGCGAGCCGGCCAGGGGATGACATTCACGTTGTTTTGTTCAAGTGAATCCTGAACAAGTCGAGCAATATGAGGCCGGGCGTTGACATGTTGAAAAGTAATGCCTGGGCAATGACGACGCAAAAACGGTAGAACAACAGGGCCGATGATCTCGTTGCGGTAGCGCTGTCCATTGAGATTTCCCTCTACCACTATCAAACGGGTCCTCTGTCTTGCTGTAATCCCACCCCATACCTTTACGCTGCCGCCCCGTAACCGATCTTCTTCCATGACACAATGATTGACGTAACGTTCACCTCGACATCGGTACACTCGAATCCGTCCATCGCTGTGGCTGAGGTGAAAACGAGACTCGTCGGTGAATAGAACTTGTCCCCACTGCATGGCCGTCCAGCGTAGACGCTGTCTTCACCATTGTGGACATGCTTGACGGTGGTTTCCTGTCAAAATGGGACGTCTGGCGGGTCTTCTGGCGACAATCCCTGCACATCTGAGGCGACGACGTACGGTTTGTGAAGATATTCGTCGAAGGCCAGGGATTCTTCTTGCAGTCACTGTTGCTGGCTGGAATCGATTTCGTAGGTGTGTTGTTCGATTCCAGTTGTCTTGTCGATTATTGGTTACGCATGGCCTGCCACTTCGAGGATGGGGGTATGCCTGCATTCGTCTGCTGCCAATGTTGCCATAAACACCAAATGGTGCTTCTGTGGACGTTAAATTGTCTTGCAACATCAAGTTGACTCGATCCTGCTTCAAGCATACCAACGGCTCGCAGACGCTCTTTTTCGGACAGGCGTGGCATTTCGTAATGTTGAATAATTGCGTAATTTTGTTGTTTTTCTGAGTGGTTGTTGTCAGCACGATGCTAAACAATGCATATGGAATCCCGTTAACGCACATGTTTTTATACCCATTCTCGGGTAGTGAAATGCATGGGACTTGCATAAAAGTCATCTTTTGCATGGAATGCATGCTTTTCTGTAGCAGTTGCGTTTTTGTGACTTGATTCCATACATGTACTACAATATTAAAAACCAAACTTTACTTGTTTGAAAAATACACTAAAATATTGGTGTCACAGGAACTTTGGTTGTTGAGTATAGTATCAATTCCCTTTGTCGTTTTTCGTGTTCACATTCATTTGAAGCGTTCTTAAAATCAACCTGGGCTTCTCACAATCTGACGTGGCAGTGTGGTCAACATGCTGAAACACTGCTAATGTAGTAGTAGTAGTAGTAGTAGTAGTAGTGGCGGTGATGGTGGTGGTGTCGATGGCAGTGGTGGAAGTGATAGTGGTGGCAGTATGATTATTGGTGGCCGTAGTAGTAGTAGTAGTAGTAGTAGTAGTAGTAGTAGCGGCAGCAGTGGTAGTAGAGTTGAGGTAGTGGTGGTGGTAGTAACACTAGTAAAAGAGAGAGTGGTAGTGGTGGTGGTAGTAATAGGGAGCGGTCGGGTAGCCTAGTGGTTAAAGCGTTCGCTCGTCACGCCGAAGGCCCGTGTTCGATTCCCCACATGGGTACAATGTGTGAAGTTAATTTCTGAAATTGCTGGAATATTGCTAAAAACGCTATACTCACTCACTCACTCACTCACAAGTAATAGACTGCCTATAAAACTAGTGCGACTACCACCACGACTGATACAACTAATGATGCTGATACTACTGCTACTACCAATACTGCTACTATTACTACCACTACTGATACTACTGCTACTACCAATACTGCTACTATTACTACCACTACTGATACTACTGATACTACCAATACTGCTACTACCACTACTAATACTACTGCTACTACCAATACTGCTACTACTACTACTACTTCCACTACCACTTCTACTACTGATACTACTGCTTCTTCCGATGCTACTACTACTACCACCACTACCACTTCTAATACTACCACTTCTACTACTACTACTACTACTACTACTACTACTACTACTACTTTTTACCACTATTTCTCTAGTTCAGGGGTATCGAATAAGTGATTGTGGGTGTTCTAAATATTCGATGACATTTTCAACCGACGGCGTGAGCATTTCAAAGAGCTCGACTGCACACGTGATACACGCGACAGAGGCCAGGTACATTGTTGGTATGTACATCACAAAGTGATCCATGTACTCTTACTGCGCCTCAACACATCTAGGTCAGTACAAAACGAAGTTCGTGCGAGAATATAAGTAAAATCACATCCCTATGCCAGACGTTGCACTTATTTCACCCAACTCACACATGACAATCACACATGATCATTTACAGCCCACTGCCTGGTTCAGGGGTGAAGCATTCGTGAAGTCATTGTGCAAACGTACGTTTTGTTTGTTTGTTGTTTAACTCGGCAGTATACCAGACGTGGTTCGCCCCCTGCTTCGTCATATCAAAGGACGTTAAAAGATGGTACATGTTGTTTCCCTGTCTAGCCCCCGGCATTAAGGGGCTAAAAGAAGGACTGGTCGGCTCGGAGTCAGTATACTGTGTCTGAGTGGGGTATTCATGTTAAACTGCGGCATGGCATCTCAGTGGGCTAGCACTCTAAAACCGGCAGTAGTCCGGACTAGTACAAGCGGACACACGCACATACAGACACGCACAGATAGAGACACACGCCCGCACGCGCATTCACATCTCTGCATCTTGAGCCTGACGTTAAACCCAATGTTTAACTAATCTCGCCTCTTTCTGTTCACACTACGAAACAAAGTAGAAACATAAGTCTCGTGTTCGTGTATGTAGGTTATGTAAGTCATTCTTACGTATTTATTACGTATTTATTACGACTATGCTTGTCGTAAAAGGCGACTAACGGGATCGGGTAGTCAGGCTGGCTGACTTGGTTGATGCATGTCATCGTATCCCAATTACGTGGATCGATGCTCATGTTGTCAATCAGTGGATTGTTTGGTCCAGACTCGATAATTTACAGACCGCCGTCATTTAGCTGGAATATTGCTGAAGTGAGGCGTTAAACAACAAACAAACAAATCTAGTTGGAATGAACGGAATTATTTCTTTTTGACACTCAAGGGAAGGATTTAAAATTTTGTATGAAAACGCCATCGGGGATCGAATCCGCATTCTAGAATTTGCGAATGTGTAATAGTCGATGTGAATGCGACACTGTCCCTTCTCGGATAACATACGCTACGGCTACGGCGACACGTGACAGAACGTTGTGAAATTCACTACTGGATCACCTGACGCAAACTTATGTCGGGGTGTCCTCAGATCTTCACGCAGTGAGCTAGCCTGTCGGAGTAAAAAATCTGATTTAATGAGACTGAGTAAAGAGTAGATGGGCACGAATGATACACCGACACGAGTGACTACAAACGAACGCGCAAGTGTATCACGCTCAGTAGACATGTAGAACACAATACGATAAGCTCGTCTCCATGAGTTAGCAAATACTTCATCTGCATGAGTAAACGTTTGCTCAAAATGAAAGCTGTTGTTTATGAAAATCCGGGTCAATAAAATTATTCATGGCTTAACCTTTTTGCAAATACTCTTAGAAATAGTGCTGTCGTTCTTCAAAAACGTCGTGAGGATGGCGGGCGGGTGTGTGTCGGGGAGGGGGAGGGGGGGGGGGGGGGTGTGCATGGGGAGGATGTCGCCTTGGCGTACAGAATCTGCACATCCGCCTTCTGACTCGCCACCCACAACCGCCACCCTCTGCACACCTTAGCCGTTTGATACTACCCCCTACGGTTGTGTTAAAATATCGATGAAGGCGAAAGACAATATCACTTTCCCTCATCCAAGATGCATCTACATTGTATAGGGGCGGTGTGATCAGTCTGTAAGATTTCTTTCACAACACGAATAATTATGCATTTAAGTTCCTACTGTGAACTCGATCCGTATTCATACAAGCAACACATAGACATTGGGACATCCTGGTACCTTGTTATCCCCCTCGGCTGAACCCGGCGGGTTAGCCTAGTGGTTAAAGCGTTCGCTCGTCACGACGAAGGTCTGGGTTCGATTTATTGAGTTCATTTCTGGTGTCCCCCGTCGTGATTGCTCGAATATAAGCGGCGTAAAACCATATTCACTCATCCATTATCCCTGTATGTTTCATATTACTCGAGTGAATGTTATGTTCAATGTCAACAAAATAAATATCAATCATTCTACATAGTTTAGTTTTAACATACAGTTTATACATATCCTCTTTACTGTTACAAATAACAGTGAGTGAGTGGTTTGTGTTTTATGCCGCTTTGAACAGCATTTCAGTTATATCATGATCAAGGGGAGCTTAATTTGGGAAGAGATGCAGACTTTATCACTGTGGGGAACACACGAGCACGGGGTTGGTACTGTAACACCAGAAAACATAATCAGGGAGAATCTGGGATTCGAACCCACGATCAGTGGTTTCTGGGACACAACTCTGCACAGTGCCTTGGACAACTGGGCCACCCGTTACACATACCAAAGAAAATCTGGAATGATATGATGTGAGCTTTATAACTACCAGTGTGGTTTACTCACCAGTTGGACTTTTCCCCACCCCAGCACACCCACAGCCTAAGTTTGCTTAAAAAGATGGCACTTGTTATTACCCTGCCTGGCGCTCGGCGTTAAGTGGATAAAACAAGGACTCGTCGGTTCGGAGTCAGTATACTGTGTCTGGGTGGGTTATCCAAGTTATCCATGATGCCGCATCATGTCTCAGTGGGCGAGCACTATAACAAAACCAGTACAAGCACACACACACACACACGCACGCACGCACGCACGCACGCATACACACGCGCGCGGTCTTGGAATATTGTAACTGTCAATGAACGATACAACCTTGTTTAACAATGACCTCAATGACATAACCATGATTTGTAAAAGCACAAGTTTATTAGGAATACACATAGTACTTAGTTAGCCTTGCTGAAAGAACGAGTTTAGCTGAGTCATCGTGTAGAATAATACACGGCAATAAAATTGACGGACAAAAGAAAGTATTCACATGAAAACTGGATTTGACTAAAAAATTGCAAACGTTATTAATACATTAATACAAACCGAAACACTGCGAACTTAAGGTCCAAAACACAACTGTGATACCCCTATTAAATACATCACCACTGAGTAACCATTTCTTATTTGTTCCATTTTTAGTCACCATCAAACATGGGTGAATACTTTCTTTTGCCGGGCAGTTTACATTGTATTTAGCGAGCCTTGGTGAAAAGACGTGTTAACCTCAATCGTCATGTTGATTAATGCACGGAAATGTAAAGTAACGGAACCATTAAACGATCGCAATACTACAATAGTGGCACCTGTATTGCAATGGTATCCTAGTAGTGTTTAGACTATTGCAAAACAACCTTCTATATTTTCTCCATTTCTGTGCACAACGCGGGTTCTGTTTCCCCAAATCATCTTCCCCAGGCAAGGGCGTTAATTGACTATAAAAGTCCAGTTAACACACTGGCCAACCAAGCTGGAATTCCGGAGTTACGTTTTGGCTGGACTAACGAGTCTATGCATAGTCCAATCAAAATTGTGTAACGAACTAGACATCCGGTTCGTAAACAACATGGATTTCAACGTGCAGATTTCTGTCGACTGCAGGATTTGGCGCTACGATCGAGCAAGAAAATTCTAGCCTAGTTCGGCAAGGGTGAAAACTGGACTTTTATAGTCAATTAGATGCCCCCATATCTGCATACTGATGGACATTTGGATTCAATTTTGATTGGAAAGACACATTTTTAAATTTGCAAAAGAGATATTATTTTTTACCATAGTCCATGACTTCTGAACTTTGAACTTTCCTTGATTGCGCAAACTCACATGATCAGTGCGTTGAGTTCATCATAAAGATTGTAAATACAAGTGCCATTAGTAGAATATAAGAGAAATGATATATCAACACAATATTTAATCACTGCACATTGGTTGTTGTTTTTTTGTTTAACGCTGCAATATTCCAGTTTCAAGACGGCGGTCTATAAAAAATCGAGTCTGGACCAGGCAATCCAGAATTGACATCATGAGCATCGATCTACGCAACTGGGATACCATGACATGCATCAACCAAGTCGGTGAACGTGACCGTCCGATCCCGTTAGTCGCCTCTTACGACCTGGGTTGCTGAAGACAAATTCTCACCAGGGTCTTCAGGACCACTGCACAAAGAAACATTGGTTGGAAAAAAGAACGTCAGATGGAAGACATACAATTACATGAAGCGAACATAATTATATATACATAGTGCCACTGGAAATAAATACTTTTACTGTCTAATAATGAAATAGTCATTATTGCGAGTCACGTCGAGAAGAGTCACTGCGGGCTTTGTTTACAAAAGACTTCTGAAAGAATGAAAAGAACATCTGAGGTTTCAAAGTAGTAAAAGCAGTACTTTATTGAACATTGAAAACAAGACTATGTTCGGAATGTTCTATGAATTTCTACGCCATAAATAGATAATGATTATAACAATAGCGGCCAACTTGAAATTTGGCAGCCATCTTAGATTTTCGCGTGGCTAACGTTCTTTCACAATATACATACCAAATAAGAGGATTTTGTGTAAAGTTCATGCCTGTATCATCATTGGAACAATTCCCCGATATTTTGCACGTTATCTGTTGCAGAATTATTTACACTTCGAAGATCGGTGCATTCGACATGTGTTCATGTTGACTCGTTACCCATCGCGTCTCTCCGGAAACTGCAAGAAAGCATTCGGCTTCATCCGGAAAGAATGGCCACGTGTGATACCGGGATGATATCGAGATGACAAGGTTGTGTGTATCAACTTGACTATTTACTTCCATGAATTGATTCGGAAATATTGAACTTAAAATAATACGTCCATTGATGTTCTACTTTTCCGGCAACCAGGATTCAACCTTAGTAAACCAGCGTTAATCAAGGGGAACACAAGGCAGTACACAAAGAACACAAAATAAAACGCATAAAATGCAACTTGGTGAAAATAATGGCCGCCAGAAGAAGAATCATAACAGTCATTGCTATAACACACAGTTATGAGAGGTTTGCAACTGTTTCATTGCTTGACAAAGCTGCCATTGTACCTTTTCTATTTAATGCTTTAAATACAAGAGAATTCAAAACGCCTAGAACATGAAACGAGGTGCAACCTAGTTGCATTACTGATTCTAAAGTATTTATATCAATAATCGAAAATAATTTTCCCTGACGCATATCAAAATACAGTAAACAACGGTCATTACGAACTCAAAGGGTCCACTAATTTTAGTTCTTTATAACCGTAGTTTGTTATAAGCATATACAGCATATGTACAGCAAATGGTTGAGACAAAAAATAAGTTCGTCATATCCGTTAGTTCATTATAAGTGTAGTTTACTGTACATATGGTACCAATACTGGTTAAGTTTATTCATGATTGAATCAACTAATTAGCTAAAACAATGACGTCACTTGGAGACCGCAGAGTACCGCACCCCAGAGGTTACGGAGGTTTGGGCAACTAAGGTCAACCGAAGTATGACGTAAATCAGTTAACATGAGCTAACATTGATCAACCAAGGTTAACTTGGATTCACCTAGGTCCACCAGGGATTTGAAATCGAACGCAAGCTGTAATTAGTCCCTTATTAATAATCTCACACCCACATTGAAAATAAGGTAGGCGATTCCGACGGACGGTTATTAAGCTTGTTATTATGTTTACGCTTCTTTTGCATGTGAGAAACAAAATTCCCCCAAAAGACACTAACATTAATACGTTGACGCACATGGACACCACATCAGCATCAGTGTCTCAGCCCTGACAACAACACAGCTAATGACAGACAGGGAACAACAGCGTAGTAATACACAATATTCTGTCCACTTCCGTTTGCAGTTTCGACCACATCGCAATGCTTCTTGTTGATCCCTACGCACGACGCGTACGCCATGACGTGCGGAATATAGTTCTGCTCGTGCACCCCATGGAACAGGTGCGCCATGGGACCGTGGGCGAATATTGCAACGTCTTCACCGCCGTGGGTTTCATAACTCAATGGAACTGCACTGGTAAACCGGAAATCCACATCGGCTGTAAGAAAAGAGACAACAGGTGAGGTGAGGTGAACTGGGGTTTGACGTCGCGCTCATTATCACAATTTACACTTGAAAATTGTATTTGACCAAATATTTACGAACGTTATCAGAACTTTACAAGGTTGAATGTCTGGTATCCGTAAACCAACGCAAACTGATTATGACAAAACCTGCTTCACTCTGCTCATCACAACAGCATCAAACAAACGTTTCTTTTTTGTTTCATTTTTGCCTATTTGTGTGTGTGTGTGTGTGTGTGTGTGTGTGTGTGTGTGTGTGTGTGTGTGTGTGTGTGTGTGTGTGTGTGTGTGTGTGTGTGTGTGTGTGTGTGTGTGTGTGTGTGTTAGGGTTGGGATGGGGTACTTGTGTAGGACCCGGGTACCCACAGGACTACCAAGACCCGCAAGACCCGTAGTTAGTCATGTGATAATGGTTAAATGACAATAACAATAAAATTCAATAAAATTCTATGGTTACACAAGTACAAGTCGCTAATGCGTGTGTGTGTGTGTGTCTGTCTGTCTGTCTGTCTGTCTGTCTCTGTCTCTGTGTGTGTTTGCGTGTGTCTGTGCGTGCGTGCGTGCGTGCGTGTGTGTCTGTGCGTGCGTGCGTGCGTGCGTGTGTGTTTACTTACTTGTGTCCACCTCAGTGAGGTTTCTGCGGACCTGTGGGCCGTTCCCGTATGACAGAGTTGTGTAGGGATTCTTGTCAATCGTCTCTCTGTAGTTCGGCACCCGGTCCACCTTGTCTGATCAATGCAACATATAATATTATTAGATAATGCAAAGATTTCCGCAATATTGATTGACCAAGTTATTCGACAAAAACACCTATTGACTCAAAGACAGGTATGATAATGTACAGAATTAACTTGAGTTACTAAACATAGAATGGAAATTACCCGGAAGTGGTATTCCCCATACCTAAGTCAATCAGATGGTAACCGTTTGTTGGAACCTCCTTACGTTATTGTAGCAATATAGTTTGATATGTTCAATCTACTTTTGTGTCTTTATTATATAACTACGGGTGGCAGCAAGGAACGCGAATTGCGGCGTCTTAAATCACCGAGACACTAGTTCGAATCTAAGTCTATCCCTGTTGAAAATGGAGGATTGACAAATGCATATATATGGCTGCTGACTTTCGAATTCGGTGATATGATAACTTACAAATATCCCGCGATAATTCCTCATTCGTAAAGCTATAATTCAACATTCGGACCGCTATAATTCTACATTCGGACCGCGATAATTCTACTTTCGTACAGCTATAATTTTACATTCGGACCGCGATAATTCTACATTCGTACAGCTATAATTTTACATTCGGACCGCGATAATTCTACATTCGTACAGCGATAATTTTACATTCGGACCGCGATAATTCACATTCGGACCGCGATAATTCTACATTCGTACCGCGTTAATTCCATATTCGTACCGCGATAATTCTAAATTCGTACCGCTATAATTTTACATTCGGACCGTGATAATTCTACATTCGGACCGCGATAATTCTACATTCGTACCGCGATAATTCTACATTCGTACAGCTATAATTTTACATTCGGACCGTGATCATTCTACATTCGGACCGCGATAATTCTACATTCGTACCGCGTTAATTCCATATTCGGACCGCGATAATTCTACATTCGTACCGCGTTAATTCCATATTCGTACCGCGATAATTCTAAATTCGTACCGCTATAATTTTACATTCGGACCGTGATAATTCTACATTCGGACCGCGATAATTCTACATTCGTACCGCGATAATTCTACATTCGTACAGCTATAATTTTACATTCGGACCGTGATCATTCTACATTCGGACCGCGATAATTCTACATTCGTACCGCGTTAATTCCATATTCGGACCGCGATAATTCTACATTCGTACCGCGTTAATTCCATATTCGTACCGCGATAATTCTAAATTCGTACCGCTATAATTTTACATTCGGACCGTGATAATTCTACATTCGGACCGCGATAATTCTACATTCGTACCGCGATAATTCTACATTCGTACAGCTATAATTTTACATTCGGACCGTGATCATTCTACATTCGGACCGCGATAATTCTACATTCGTACCGCGTTAATTCCACATTCGGACCGCGATAATTCTACATTCGTACCGCGATAATTCTACATTCGTACCGCGATAATTCTAAATTCGTAACGCGATAATTTACATTCGTACGGTGGTAACTCAACATTCGTACGGCGTTAATAATACATTCCTACCGTGGTAATTCTACATTCGGACCGCGATAATTCTACATTCGGACCGCGATAATTCTACATTCGTACTGCGGTAATTCCACAACCGCGTCGCGCTGACTCCTGCGATGAAAGGCTGGGTGAGTAGTTATGAGCACTGGTGTACTTTTTGTAAAGAAGAGCATCCAGTCCTCACATATTACCCTCACAAACAGATTGCCATTGAATTTTCCAGTTGTCATGAGGCACCTACCAAGGATATTGTTGCCTCTGGACGGGTAGCCGCCGATGGTGAAGACGTGGGAGTGGTCGGCAGTGACGACGACGAGAGTGTCGGAGTCATTGATGACGTCCATGGTGGCCTTGACGGCCTCGTGCAGGGCCTTCACCTCGTGCAGAGCGCGTTTGGCGTAGGTGTCATGATGACCATGGTCAATACGGCCAGCTGAAACAGAGAGGTGGAATGAGTTGGTTTACGCTGCATTTCAGTGAGTGTCAGCTTAATATGGGTGGAAAAGCCGAAGTTATGAAGGTTAAAATCGCGGTGAAGATGATATTCCAACACACAAGTAGCTGATCCAGACGCGCCCGAGGGACGCAACTCTGCACGACCAGTGTGGCGCCTCAGATCAATATCGGCCATACTTTGCTACTACTGAAAATAATTAATATATACGTCAGTGATTGGCTGAGGTCTAAGAGACTATCATGAAATGAACGTCACAAAGAGACACAGAGATACACATTCAACCAATTTCAAACCGTTTGGCAATCAGAAGTGATTGGTTATTGCCTACTGAGGAGACAAATGCTTTATATCAAGGTCGTACACCATCTTTAAATGTCATCTTAGATACCGCAATTCGCAGTTGTGTTCCCTGGGTATGCCAGGGTTCGAATCTCAGATTTGACCTTTTTATGTTTCCAGGTTTGTCAGCACCATACCAGTACTTTTTGGTTCATCAAAGTGGTAAACATCTGAGACCTGCGTCACGTCCGGCTTTTCTCTCACATCAAGCTGACTCATATAACTGAGAAAAAAGACTGTTCAAAGAGTGAGTGAGTGAGTTGGGTTTAACGCCGCTTTTAACAGTATTCCAGTTATATAGCGGCGTGTCAGCTTAATGTGGGAGGAACGCCCGAAGTGATGCAGGTCTCAGGCGTTTACCACTTCGGTGAAACCAACGAGCACGGGTATGGTGCTGACAAACCTAGAGACATAATTGGGGCGAACCGGGATTCGAACCCACAATCATAGGTTTCTGGCGTGCCCAAGGGAAGCAACTCTGCACAGCGAATCGCTGCGCCATCGACGACTGTGCCACCCGTGCCCCCCTGTTCAAAAAGACGTTTAACCAAACTCAGTCACTCACTAAATGCGTTTTACTTCAAAGCGTTAGGTCCACACAGACGTCGTAAACTCACATTCTACAAGGAGAAAAAATCCTTTGTCGTTCTTTTTCAGGATCTCAATGGCTTTCTTCGTCATCTCGGCCAGAGACGGTTCCCCGTCACCAGAAGAATTGCGCTCTATATCGTACTGCATGTGGGAGGATTCGAACAGACCTGAAACACCAGTTTAGGATGATTCGTGGTTACGAAAAAAGCCACATCCGGTGAAATAGAAAACAAAAGAAATACGAAAACTTTCTATCAAAACTATTTGAGAACAAAACTCCATAAACAGCAAAATAAACGTGCATACAAGCTAAAGGTTACAAAGTTCAATAAAAATCTGACGTAATATTCTGTGATGATTATGAGATGGTCCCTACCAGTGTGCTCACCTAGCAGGTAATCTGTTTTCGCAGGGTTTACAGAGTCGAACTGGGCCTTGTTCCACACGTACATCGCATTCTTATCTCCCTTGCCGTTTTTCCAATCCTGCAAATAGTCCCGCATGTAACTGTGCCAAACACGTAAAAGCATTATGTGACTTCAGTTATTTCTTTCCAATGTTGGGGCACGAGTGACCTTGTCGGCCAAGACGCATCAAGTCTCTGTGCAGAGTTGCGTCGCTTGGGCACGCCAGAAACTTATGATCGTTGGTTTGAATCCCGGTTCTCCCCGATTATGTTTCTAGGTATGTCAGCAAACAGTTTCTAGGTTTGTCAGTTTGGTGGGTTACACCAAAGTGGTAAACGTCTGAGACCTGCATCATTTCGGCTTTTCCTCCCACATTAAGTTGACACGTTTTGACTGAAATGTAAGCGTCCTTAACAAAACTCACTCTCACTTGTAAACCGAGTGTTGTTCAGTTTATAGTTGTGTTGAATGATAATCTGGACATAACATTAAATGAAACATGTACAAATTAATCTTATGAGCAAAAGACGATGCTTTTAAACAATTGATTTTAAACATCGCTGCACATATTGCAAATATGACGATGCTTCATTTTTGTACTAGTTTACGGATCCACTGATACGAAAGAAATTAAAAGAGAGAAAAAAATAGAACCTATAAATAAATAAATAAATAAATAATTAAATAAATAAATAAATAAATAAATAAATAAATAAACACGCCCCACCCATCAAGCATTGTTACAATGACAGCGCTGAGTTAAGCCAACGGGTAATGTGTTCATTCTCCACAGTACAAAGGGCCGGGTTATATTCCCAACATGAACTTCGGACACTGAGGTCGTAGGATTCCGACACCAATGACACAAGTTCTCGTGACCGTCAACTCTCATCCACTTTTAACGATGTGTACACGTCCTGTTTGAACACAATGAGCAGGCCAATAGCTCAATATGCATCTGCAATCAATGCTATTCATCAGATGGCCGAGGTTACATATAGGCGGTGAACAGGTCCCCAGTCTCACTTGACCGACATCCAACCCCTCAATCAACGCTTCAATCAATAACCCTCAAAAGGTATGTCTCTCACATCACAGGGTGTTTGGACAGGTATCTCTCATTGTGCAAGTACTTTCTGTTTCAAGTTCAGGGATTGGAGCGTGTGAGACTGATTCTAACAAAAGGGGGCAGATTCGGACTCTTTTATAGATTTTTTTCGTCGTTTTTTTTAGGGGCATTACGGATTTTTGGCCCAAATAATCAGATCGATTGGTCGAAAAAATATATTTCTGTACTTCCAATTTCAAAAAATTGTTTTAATTTCCGCTCGCGATTCGTCATAATTCTTTGAGCCTTGAACCTTTAAAGTTACATATTCATATTGATACTGACATTAAATAGAGGTTACATTTTACTTATTTCTAGTCGAAGCAATAAAACAACCCCCACTGCTTTCCATTTATGTTTCCCATTTCTCATTTTTGGGGGGTGGGGTGGGGTAGTTTTCGGATTCGTAATCCAAGTCTAACCAAGGAACTCGGCCATAAAGATGGCTTCCGATGAACAACAAAACGGGCGTAATTGACGGGTTAGTTCTGAATAGAAGTTGTGAGCCGGTCAAGGTGTATTCAATGTGTAAAACCAAACATTAGCCCGGAACGCTCGTAAAATCGCCAACAGTCAGCAGCGCACAGTGTGTCGGGAACCAGTCTTATGACATGGCGATTCTTACATTAATCAGGTCACGTCCATCAGCCCTATGTTTGGGGTCGATCTCTCCAGTTTCCGGGTCTGTCTGGTTGTTGAGCAGAAAGTAGCGGCGCCCCCCTCCCATCACCACCTGGAAGACAGAGTGAGTGAGTGAGTGAGTGCCACACATGTTACGGTAAGCATTAGATAGGAAGTAATGGGATTGAAAATGTACTGTATAATTAGACCTTGTCTTATTTCATTACTCCATTCCCAACGTGTTGCAATCGCAATCGTATTAAAAAGGATATCTTAGTTGGGTGTGATACCTGTCCGCGTGAAGGTCTCACAAACCGTTCATAGTGTCAGGAAAACCGTAATATATAATCAGCCAATCAGCGTCGAGGTTTGTAAATTCCCGGAACGAGCGAGCGAAACATGCAGAACACATTATCTGATTTCTGTCTCGCAAAAACGGGCAGTTCATAATGGAAATAAAAATGGAGATAAAAAAATATGTTGTCGATATCACACACACATACACCGCGCGCGCGTGCACGCACAAACACCCCACACTAACACAAATTTAACACCAACACTAACTACCCCCATGACCCCAAAGTACACTCAAAGGAATGTTTGTGCTCTGTGTCAATTTTCTCTTAAGATATATATTTCCGAATTGAGACCGTGAATATATAAAATCGCGTCGTTTTAGAAAGCTGACATCTGATTGCCCGAAGACCCCAGACACCTTTAATGTAGATTGGTAGGACAAAGTTATCTCGGGGTTCAAGAAGTGTTTGTTAGATCTTCACAAAGAGAGAGAGGTGTCGTATACCGGATGTTGTTTTACCTGAAGGTCAAGGTTATCCACAAGCTGTTGGGCAATGTCCTTGCACTTCCCTGTGACGTTACTCTTGGTGGTGTCTGCGTCCCCCTCCCAGTCTCTCTCTGCCGAGTGGGCGTATCCGGCTGCCGGGGTGGCGTGTGTCACACGGGCAGTGGTCACGATGCCGGCTGCCTTTCCTGAAAAATGTAAATTAAACTGTCATTTCTCATTAGGGTAATGGGGTGCTTGTGGTTGAAGCGTTCGCTCGTCACGCCGAAGACCAAGGTTTTATTCCCTACATGGGGACAATGTGTATTCCAGTTATATCACGGCGTGTCAGCTAAATGTGGGAGGAAAGCCCAAGTGATGTTGGTCTCAGACGTTTACCACTTCGGTGAAACCCACGAGCACGGGTATGGTGTTGACAAACCGAGAACCATAATCGGGGCGAACCGGGATTCGAACCCACAATCATAGGTTTCTGCCGTGGCCAAGGGACGCAACTCTTCACAGCGAATTCCGGCGCTTCAGGCGACTGGGCCACCCTTTCCCCCTATTCACAGCAGTGACGTCAACACGGATCATTACCCAGGGTTCTCAATACATATAAAGTCAACCCTGTTAATCCGGAAACAGTGTCTCCCGGAGAGTTAATGTTGTGAACATCTAAGTATATACAAAGGGGCTGCTCACGGATATTTACAATGACGAGGTGTGATATATAAGTAACACGTCCCATTTTAATTCTGGAAACCCAAAAGTCCAGAAACTCTACGCTCTTTGCCCAGTCTCGGTTAAAGGTATTTACAAAATTAAACATGCCGTTTTCATGGGAACATACCAAGGAAGAAAAAATGAAAAAAAAATTGTTTAAAAACTCAATATTTAGACTATGTCGCCCATGGGCCTGCCCATGGGCGAAGTGTGGCCCATCGGCCTGCCCATGGGCGAAGTCTGGCCCATGGGTAGGCCCATGGGCAGGCCCATGGGCGAGAACATGTTCCTTTACTTAAAACTCATGATTTTGTTTCGCAAATACATTAAATGTATTTATTGAAGTATCATGACACAAAATTTAACTCATTTTAACTTAATTCAACGATTTTATAGCGATATTGAAATATTTCGCCCATGGGCGAGAAAAAGGTTTGGCCCATGGGTAGGCCCATGGGCAGGCCCATGGGCGAGAACATGTTCCTTTTCTTAAAACTCATGATTTTGTTTCGCAAATACATTAAATGTATTTATTGAAGTATCATGACACAAAATTTAACTCATTTTAACTTAATTCAACGATTTTATAGCGATATTGAAATATTTCGCCCATGGGCGAGAAAAAGGTTTGGCCAATGGGTAGGCTCATGGGTAGGCCCATGGGCGAGAATATGTTCCTTTACTCAAAACTCATGTTTTTCTTTCGCAAATACATTAAATGTATTTATTCAAGTATCATGACACAAAATTTAACTATTTTTTACTTAATTCAACTATTTTACGGCGTTATTAAAATATTTCGCCCATGTTTTCGTCTGTCCCTTTCAAGCATCAACTAACTGTTTGCAAAGTATATTGTATCATGTGAAATATACTTTATATTATATCATTACATTACTATTTAAAAAGGGCTTTTGGTGGGGATGTTTCCTTTAGTTCTACAAATTTCACCTGTTTTACATATTGTAGCGATCTTTAATGAACCCGGCCTTACCTCTCAAAACTTTTTGACAGTTTATCATACGAATTCATGTGCGTGTACTCAAATTCATTGGAGTTATTTTCCACAACATTAAAATTTAGTTAGTTTCTATTTCATTTCCCATTTTATGTCCCGTTGATACATCACACTGGGCAATTACGTGACACTAGGTATGCAATATACAGGTACGCGTGCGCGTATTTTAATGAAAAAAACTATTCGTCTTTTATTGCATAACGTTTGGCTGAATATCTTACATTCTAACGAAATCTCGAAATAATTATTTAATTACATGCGGTTTCGAACTGACCAGTAGGAATTATGTTTCAATGCGATTGAGGAAAACGTGAGGGAATATTGTGACACATAAGCAACTTTTAACTGCATTGTCACTTTTGGTATGAAAATGGTAACAGTTCAGAAAAAACAACAGCCTTCTTATGATAATTCTCATTAGTACGTTGTATCTAATTACAGTGTCGGCCTTATTTACAGGTGATTCTACAATACCTGCCCTCGGTCAATTACGATCTACCACACCACGCGTGAATAAACAGTTATGCAGGTGTTGCTGTGGGCAAATACCTAGCCTGTACATGTATATTTTTTAGGATACATGTTTTACAAATGTTCGTTGATATGTGGATATATTAAGCACAAAGACAAAAAAATGTTTATGAAAGATGAATTAGTGCCTTGATATATTCATCGAGATGTGTATCATCGTTTAATGGGGTCATTCAATAAACGTATGTTTGGAGGAGATATCAAAGGAGCCGCCCAATATACACAGTGTCGTCCGGTGAACTACCACCCCACCCTGTCCATTAGAGTTATGTAATCGGTACACAAATATATTTGATGCGGTGTCAGTGCGGAAGGAGTTTGAATTACGTCTGCCACTTGCCACAGAAATCCTCAAAGTATAGAAACAATAAACAAGGTCAATCCGTACTAATTACCTAGTGACGCACGCAACAACGACTGTCAATAGGGAAAATGGTGAAAACAAATTGAAATAGATTTTAATTAAACATTATTGTACTAAATAACTCGCAAAAGCGGTGCCTAAAATTGTTTGACCGTGTTATGTGTGTTGTAAACTGACGAATAGCAAGTAATTGTCATGCTGTAGGCATGGTTCCATATACAAATTCAGTTATACAACCGGTATGAAACTGAGAACTTAGATACCAAGTACAACCTGCATTCACACACGGAAGCAATATACTTGTGTGTATGCCCTCTCCTCTAAAAATGTATCACTAAAGTATTTGCATTGTAATAAATATAGTAATGATAAAACTTGGTAATTTGGTAGGTCTCCGACAGATATGATTTTCAGTTTTTTTTACACCTTTGATTGATACGGATTACGTACCTGTAGTCTAGTCACTATATCTAATGTATCTGCTTGTTAGAAATTTCAAATGTCTTGTTATAGCACTGTTCCTAAAATACGGCAGTTTCTTTTATCGGGTATAAATAGTTGATTCGTCTTGTCACGCAGTCATTTTTACTTGATCGAATGATTTCCACAAAAAATTACGGCAGAGAGTTTTGTATTTTATTATACTTTTAGAAGATTTTAGAAGATGCTTACTTCACTGTATCTCAGAACGTAAAAGTGATAACATTCAAACACATAATTAGTACACAGTTAATTGTTACATATAATTTCCTGCATATTCCTTTTTGAACAAAAAGCCTACATGTATACTGATATCGGTGTCCACTGTTAAAAGGGTATTAGTGCAGTCAGCCATGGTAAATGGAGAGACAATAATAAGGTGATTAATTATAGTCGCAGAATATGCGGTATAAGTGTAGTCATGGATACATATACACATTACACATATACAGATGAAATACACGATATGATGCAGTGCAAGAACAAATTAAGATACGGTTTCTATTAAAAATATTTATACGATTTTGGATTTAATTAGCATGTTTAAATTTTCAGGCCAACACGGCTGAGATACAGCATGGCATACTCAACTAGAGTTGTTTTCTGCCGGTTGTAAGTTCATTGTTTGACTGAGCACACTCGTGTCGGGGTTGCGATATTTTCTTCTCTTTGTTGGCAGCCTGCCACCGGTCTGAATTTTGAGAAAGGTCTCAGCATGGGACTGTTAATTACTTCTTAGTGATGTCTACAAGCTTACAAACTTGTAGATGTTGGGTGCGGTTAGGACCAAACTTTTTCAGCTCAGAGTGTTAGTGGTCCTGGAACCCATAGTGTCAAACAGGTTCTGCACAAAACGTCCATCAGATTCTACTGTTCAGCAACATTGTCACTGAATTTCAGAACTCTGGCATGATATAATAATCAAGGATTTCGAAGGTGAACGAGGGGAAAGGCAGACGCACGTGGATTTACCCTCAGGTTATTATTGTCTGGAGTTCACATTTTGGGGCATTTCATTTACTAATTGAACAGAGTTCACCTGCACATGTCCACTTTAGTGATACAGTCTGTAACCAAAAATGCAATGAGCCGTAGCTCTTAATCCCTTATAACAACGGTAACAACAACCAGGGTGAGGACACAGTAAGGTTAAACCGTGTCCAACAGACAATCTGAGGTGGCTATCTCCCATCAAGTCAGCTCTGTTTTTAAGCGCATAGTTATGTTTTTACATATTGAAATAAAAGGAATTTAAAAAATTATATTTAACAAACCTACACATTACCAAATACAAAACTTTATAACCCTCTCTAGACTTCGTTCCAATTAACCTGGATCATTCAACTCGCTCGCGAAGGTCGTATGCGACTTTAAAGTGAATACGTCTACAGTGTACAAGTAACTTTTAACTGTATCATATATACTCATGATAAGCAATTATTTTCGTTCCTAATTCGAATGAGCACATTCTGAGGCTAAATCTGCAAAAGGACAGATAAAATATTTCTTTGTACAATGCAAACGATACAAACGTAGCGGCTGATAATAGAGACAATGATTTAATAATCTGCAATATATCAAGTGTTCTCGTTCAATCTATTGTACATATTGAAGTGATTGTAAAGTTTCAAGGAGTACTAAAATGTTGTGGTATTATGAATGTATTTAGAATATGAATAGCGAAAAACAGTCACCATATCGGATGTACATGTATAACTTGTCTTCCAACACCACGCTTGTGCCGAGGCCCATGGTCATAAAACTAATCGGTCCCATAAAAGGAGCAAATAGTTTCGCAGATACTTCTTGCTATGTTTCACTCCCAATTGTCAGACGACCTAATCATCAGTCAGACCAGTCAAGTGTGACCAGCGTACCTGCCTGGATTTGGCTCCTAATTACTGAACTGCCCAATACTGTCATACTGTGGGCAGAGTAAGCGGCCTCGTTGAGTGATACAGACTAACCAGATTATGACTGTGTTTGTAAGTTGCGTTTAATCTGTGTCGGGTTGCAGTTGTTTTATAAGTCAAGACTAGGGGTAGTTTTTTCAATGAAACCTTTTGAGTTTGTTTTGCATTCATTTCATTAAATACATTGTTAGGTAGAATAATAACACGTTATATGGATTAAACATCTCCCTAATCTGAGTATAATCTCACATGTACTCTAAGTACCGTACTATATTACTTTGCGGAGACACTGAGTATAATTTTTTAGTTGGCATTGTATGCTGTCTGAATGACTTTACACAAATCCCTGCATTCAATAGACCCGTGAAGATCTTCAACAAACCATTCTTGGCGTAAAAGGGCGACAGCGCTTGTCGTAAGAAGCGACTAACGGGATCGGGTGGTCAGGCTCGCTGACTTGGTTGATGCATGTCATCGTATCCCAATTGCGTGGATCGATGCACATGATGTCAATCACTGGATTGTCTGGTCCAGACTCGATTATTTACAGACCGCCGTCATACAGCTGAAATATTGCTAAGTGTGGCGTTATACAACTAACAAACAAACAAAACACAAAAAGAGAAAGTGTATGAGTACTAAAACTTGCAATAGATATGCGTACCCTACGTACACACATGAGTCCCATTCGACAGTCTACAACACACGAATAACTGTCAAACAAGTTTGGGTAACCCTTCTGTTCAGGCAAGTTATTTAGTTCGATAATTTTTTATTAAAATCCTTTTCAGTTTGTTTTCATCCTTTTTCCCTATTCCATGCATGTTTATGTTGCTACATCTTATTGCTCATGTTTCCAAGTATTGTAAAACACTTTAATGTTTCTCCTTCTTAATCTAACGTTATAACATTGCCGGTCATTGCCATCATCTAATACACAAGAGATGATACCAAGACATATTTTATTCGGTTTTATGGTCTATGCGGTCTTACAATTGATTTTAATAGTCATTAAATCTTATGTCTAGTAAATATTTTCACAAACAGGGCTGTTAACTGATATAAGGAATGTAACATCCAGTTGAGGACTGAATACGACGTACGTTAGTCTGGTAACGACATTTCTACAATTAATATTTTGAATAAGCCAGTTGTGACAGGGATGATGGTATGGTAGATGTAGCAGACATATTGGCAGCCGTTGTTACGCGAGTCACTAGGTTATTAGTACGGCATTGGCCTTGTTGATTGGTACTATACTTTCTGTGGCCACTGGCGGACGTAATTCAAACTCCTTCCACACTGACATTGCACCAAATATATTTGTGTACCGATTACATAACTCTTACTGACAGGGTAGGGTGGTAGTTCACGCGAAACGGACGACACTGTGTATATTGAGCGGCTCCTTTGATATCGCCTCACAACATACTTTTAATGAATGACCAATTAAACGATGATACACATCAGGATCGCGGAGAAAATACAAGCTTCGTTCGCGTTGAATATATATATCAAGGCACAAATTCATCTTTCATAAACTTTTTGTGTCTTCGTGCTTAATATATCCACATATCAACGAAAATATGTAATACATGTATCCACAAAAATATACATGTACAGGCTAGGTATTTGCCCACAGCAACACCTGCATAACTGTTTATTCACGCGTGGTGTGGCAGATTGTAATTGACCGACAACAAGTACTGTAGAATCACCTGTAAATAAGGCCGACACTGTAATTAGACACAACGTACTAATAAGAATATGAGAATTATCATAAGAAGGCTGTTACGTTTTTCTTAACTATTACCATTTTCATACCAAAAGTGACAATGCAGTTAAAAGTTGCTTTAGTGTCACAATATTCCCTCACGTTTTCCTCAATCGCATTGAAACATAATTCCTACTGGTCAGTTCGAAACCGCATGTAATTAAATAATTATTTCGAGATTTCGTTAGAATGTAAGATATTCAGCCAAACGTTATGCAATAAAAGACGAATAGGTTTTTTTCATTAAAATACGCGCACGCGTACCTGTATATTGCATACCTAGTGTCACGTAATTGCCCAGTGTGATGTATCAAGGGGACATAAAATGGGAAATGAAATAGAAACTAACTAAAATTTAATGTTGTGGAAAATAACTCCAATGAATTTGAGTACACGCACATGAATTCGTATGATAAACTGTCAAAAAGTTTTGAGAGGTAAGGCCGGGTTCATTAAAGATCGCTACAATATGTAAAACAGGTGAAATTTGTAGAACTAAAGGAAACATCCCCACCAAAAGCCCTTTTTAAATAGTAATGTAATGATATAATATAAAGTATATTTCACATGATACAATATACTTTGCAAACAGTTAGTTGATGCTTGAAAGGGACTGACGAAAACATGGGCGAAGTATTTTAATAACGCCGTAAAATAGTTGAATTAAGTAAAAATTAGTTAAATTTTGTGTCATGATACTTGAATAAATACATTTAATGTATTTGCGAAAGAAAAACATGAGTTTTGAGTAAAGGAACATGTTCTCGCCCATGGGCCAAACCTTTTTCTCGCCCATGGGCGAAATATTTCAATATCGCTATAAAATCGTTGAATTAAGTTAAACTGAGTTTAATTTTGTGTCATGATACTTGAATGAATACATTAAATGTATTTGCGAAACAAAAACATGAGTTTTAAGTAAAGGAACATATTCTCGCCCATGGGCCTGCCCATGGGCCTACCCATGGGCCAAACCTTTTTCTCGCCCATGGGCGAAATATTTCAATATCGCTATAAAATCGTTGAATTAAGTTAAAATGAGTTTAATTTTGTGTCATGATACTTGAATAAATACATTTAATGTATTTGCGAAAGAAAAACATGAGTTTTGAGTAAAGAAACATGTTCTCGCCCATGGGCCAAACCTTTTTCTCGCCCATGGGCGAAATATTTCAATATCGCTATAAAATCGTTGAATTAAGTTAAAATGAGTTTAATTTTGTGTCATGATACTTGAATGAATACATTATATGTATTTGCGAAACAAAAACATGAGTTTTAAGTAAAGGAACATATTCTCGCCCATGGGCCTACCCATGGGCCTACCCATGGGCCAAACCTTTTTCTCGCCCATGGACGAAATATTTCAATATCGCTATAAAATCGTTGAATTAAGTTAAAATGAGTTAAATTTTGTGTCATGATACTTGAATGAATACATTAAATGTATTTGCGAAACAAAAACATGAGTTTTAAGTAGAGGAAAATATTCTCGCCCATGGGCCTACCCATGGGCCTACCCATGGGCCAAACCTTTTTCTCGCCCATGGGCGAAATATTTCAATATCGCTATAAAATCGTTGAATTAAGTTAAAATGAGTTAAATTTTGTGTCATGATACTTGAATGAATACATTAAATGTATTTGCGAAACAAAAACATGAGTTTTAAGTAGAGGAAAATATTCTCGCCCATGGGCCTGCCCATGGGCCTACCCATGGGCCAGACTTCGCCCATGGGCAGGCCCATGGGCGACATAGTCTAAATATTGAGTTTTTAAACATTTTTTTTTTCATTTTTTCTTCCTTGGTATGTTCCCATGAAAACGGCATGTTTAATTTTGTAAATACCTTTAACCGAGACTGGGCAAAGAGCGTAGAGTTTCTGGACTTTTGGGTTTCCAGAATTAAAATGGGACGTGTTAAGTGATGTATTCTCTGTGACGGTTTGGTTGTTCCAGATGTCATCCGACTATGATCTTTGGAGGGACGGCGCCAGTTTCAAATGCCAGAATATGGTCCTTTGCTGCAACAATTTTGTCCTCAGAATGCAACGGAAGATCTTCAAGCATACCTTCATCAAGAGACCACTTGAGGATAGATTCGACCTTCCCAGCATCCTGTGCATCACAGTCTTCTCTCGCCACACTCTCGCTGACCCCGAGAGTTCCCAAGTTGGCCTTGACCCCACACAAGAAGGCCGTGGCTGTTCCTGCCGAGTCAGCTGTTTGACGATCTACGTTATATGTCTGAAAACAGAGCGTCGGGTGTGATGGGTGTGTGACCGGCGTTTTCATGTTTGTTTGGGTATGTTTAAACGCCGCACTCAGCAAGATTCCAGCTATATGACGGTGGTCTGTAAATAATCGAGTCTGGATATCGTGCTGTGATTCGAACAAGGTGCGAAATCATGAATAAGAACCAAGATGGCGGGTGTCACTCCTTGTCTATATGTACACTACTGCCGAGAAGTTCATTCCCCCTACACTCATGGGCAACGCGTTAGGCAACCCGTGTACACCCCGTTGCAAATGCAATCGTCACACACTTTATCCACCCGACCCTCATAATTTGCTCCGACAATGAAGGGCTGCTGGGATATATTCCGTGTCCCAATCACCACAGGGGTCAAAAAGCACTCATATTGATATTGAGAACTTCAAAGGTTTGAACAAAGGCGCTTCCCCGTTGTTATTAATAATTATCCGAGGCTGCATTTTTACAATATCTTTTTACGATCTACGACGGCGATAACATCGAAAGTATCTTAAAGTGAAACCCTTTTGTCATTTACTTCTCAACATGAATCCGCGGACCCAAATTTCACAAATAAAATTTAACATTTTCAGAAAGTTTTTTTCCATATTCCTTCCCAGACAGTAACTTCTTTCAGTGAAGCAGAGGTTAGTTATTGATAAATCGTGATAACGTCTTTCAACCAAACAATATATTTATTTTAATTATATTTTTAAAAAACCAACATTTTCCAAATAAATATGACAAAAAGAGAGTAATGTTACAAACCTTAGACAGGGCCACATTGGAGAACTTCTCAAAAGACAGAACCGTCTCCTCCCCAGTGTTCCCTTCTGTCTGGCCCGTGTATATCCTCCCTGCCGTCACAGTGGACACGCCCATCCCATCACCCAGGAAGAAGATGACGTTCTTGGCAACGTTGGTGTTCGGCTTCATTTGGAGGGACTCCATCAGCGTCTTCTGCGCCATCGTTACCCATTCTTCCCCATCTGACCAATAAAATAATTGTTAATTTTATTTCTGAGACATTCCGAGACCAACATGTAGTTCTAGAACGAATGTTGTTTAACGCCGCAGTAACAAAATATCTAGCTTCATCAAGAAGGTATGTAAATAATACAGCCTGGTCCAGATCCGTGGATGATAGCATGAACGAAGGTCCCTGAAGTCGGCGTATGATAAGACGCAATCAGTCAGATCCAACACTATAATCACCAGATCCTTGTTTCTCTCGACGCCTATGTCAAGCATGCTGTGGTGAGGACCTATTGTATCCCGGAACGAACGTTCACGGGGTGTCACTTCTGAGCACAACAAGCCGATGGGGTAGTCTAGTGGTTGCACACAGTTGAAAATGTGGCGCATTCGGCAATAGTCATTTTTGAAATGTGGCTCAACCGGCTAGACACCGATTGAAGCGCTCACTCGCCACGCCAAAGGCCCGTGTTCGATTAACACATGAGTACAATGTGTGAAGACGATTTCGGAGGTCCTCAAACGTGGGATTGTAAAAAGTGGCGTAAAACACGACTTAAGTTCGACATAAAACTGTTTAACTGCTTGATGTATTTGTATCTTCATGGGGCCTCGTATTTTTAACTTTGTCAAGGAGACCGACCGACAAAAAAGCCTGAAGATAGAGAAACAAAACTTTTGACAAAACATATTTGGCCGATTCAAATAAACAATAAATGATTTTGACATAATGAAACTGTTTAGGTTTTTTTCATTCTTTTGTAGCAGTGCTTATCTGAAAGTTGAAAATTATTAATTACGTTGTTTTTTCGATCACCTACACTGAATTTTAAGCCAAACCTTTTATTAATTCAAATAGGCCTTAAGGGCGGACACAAGCCACGGTAATACAATATTTTCTGTGTTGACATAAATAATTATCCATATACCCCCGACTTACCCGCTGACACCACCGATAGGGTTGCACACCACAACAGCAAACACAACACGAAAGCAGCTACTCGCATCCTGGTTGAGAAACTTTCTGTAAAGAACAAAGTGTAGTGTATTTGGGTATTATATTTTATCATACAATGGGTAGGTTTCTCGGCAGGATAAAGCCAACGGATAAAAACGATATCCGTTGGGGTCATATGCGGATAGAGATGCAAATATCAAAGGTCAAGTAGGGACTACTTTCACTGTTTATAAACAAACATGGCGTCGCCCTCATCATTCGGCGATCGAGTCAGAATTAACCATCGGGAATCTGGATAAACTACAGGGATAATTGCTATCATTATCAAAAGAACAGTTTATTATACTGAAAATCAGTGCCTAACTGTGACGTAGCTAAGGCATTTTATAAGTTTTGGCAACTTTGGAGATATAAATTTCGAAACAATTTTGCGAGGTCACTAGGCCTAGACAAGCGGGATCAGTAGCCATATAGATCTGTGCTTGTTAGACCTCTGCGGCTTGAAACCTTCTCCACAAATTAAAATAGTTGGATTTGGCCGAAATATGTTTGAATTGTTACCGTGTTTCGTTTTGTCGCTGTGTGTACATCTGACTACACTTCTTAACGTTATGACAGGACAGACCGACTGTCAACAACGTCTGACCGTGGCCGTGACGTCTCATAGACTAGGGTTAGAGTAGCTTCCCTTTGACAAAGGGCAGTTACTCTAGCGGACAGACCGATGGATTAAAAACAATTGTTGTTTTGCGTATATGTTGCTTCGCCAGTGTATAGGAAACAGATTTCAGTTGTGGAGGATTATTGTGTGTGTTTGTGGAAGATTATTATTGTGTGTGTTTGTGGAGGGTTATTGTGTTTGTTTGTGGAGGATTGTTGTGTGTGTTTGTGGAGGGTTATTGTGTGTGTTTGTGGAGGGTTATTGCGTGTTTGTGGAGGGTTATTGTGTGTGTTTGTGGAGGATTATTGTGTGTGTTTGTGGAGGGTTATTGTGTGTGTTTGTGGAGGATTATTGTGTGTGTTTGTGGAGGGTTATTGTGTGTATTTGTGGAGGATTATTGTGTGTGTTTGTGGAGGGTTGTGCTAGATGTAATGCCACTACAAACGGTTGATCAGAATTCTGTGAGCATTGCTAAGGGACACTACAGTTGGGATCCTGCACCCAGAGTGTCAGCTCCATTGGCCATGTGGTTTCAGCGGAGATGTCGACAAGTGAGTGAGTTTGGTTTTACGCCGCTTTTAGTAATATTCTAGCAATATGACGGCGGGGGATACCAGAAATGGACTTCACACTTTGTACCCATGTCGGGAATCAAACTCGGGTCTTCAGCGTGACGAGCGAACGCTTTAACCACTGGGCTACCCGACCGCCCCTATGACGCGTTACAGATATTTCCGTAGTGTCACTATAAGTTCATCATATTTTATGCATATAATACGCTAATTTTGACATTTGACATTACATACATTAAGATAAATAGTCTATTACGATATAGTACTTTACAGATGTAGTGTTGGGTAAATGCATTCCAAATGTTTATTTTTCAAAATATATTTAGGTTGTGGGTAACATTCATACGAGATATGCTATAAAATGTTATTCCTCCATGGCGGCCATTTTAATTTGGCTAACATATTGGATTGTTTGGATGAGTCCACATCTTGAAAGTATTGGAAGCCATAACCAGCTACTGTGCCATGTTTCATTCTTTTAACACACAACGTATACGTTTTCACGAAAAGGTAAGACTATATAGAACACGTCCCATTTTAATTCTGGAAACCCAATAGTCCAGAAACTCTACGGTCTTTGCCGACTCTCGGTCAAAGGTATTTACAAAATTAAACATGCTGTTTTCATAGGAACATACCAAGGAAGAAAAAAGGAAAAAAAAACTGTTCAAAAACTCAATATTTATACTATGTCACCCGGGCCAAACCTCTTTCTCGCCCATGGGCGAAATATTTCAATATCGCTATAAAATAGTTGAATTAAGTTAAAATGAGTTAAATTTTGTGTCATGATACTTGAAAGATATACATATATGTATCTGAGAAACAAAAACATGAGTTTTGAGTAAAGGAAAATATTCTCGCCCACGGGCGAAATATTTCAATATCGCTATAAAATAGTTGAATTAAGTTATAATGAGTTAAATTTTGTGTCATGATACTTGAAAGATATACATATATGTATTTGAGAAACAAAAACATGAGTTTTGAGTAAAGGAAAATATTCTCGCCCATGGTCCAAACCAGAATATTTTCCTTTGCTCAACAGTTTTAGTTTGGAAAATACATAAAGGTGTTATAAGCATGACACATGGTTCAACTCGTTTTACCTTAATTCAACTAATTTATGGCGTTATTAGAATATTTCGCACATGTTTTCGTCAGTCCCTTTAAATAATTAAGTAATTGTGTACAAAGTATATTGTATCATGTGAAATATACTTTATATTATATCATTACATTACTATTTAAGAAGGGCCTTTGGTTGGATGTTTCCTTTACAGAAGTTTTACAAATTTCAAATGTTTTACATATTGTAGCGATTTTTAATGAACCCGGCCTTACCTCTCAAAACTTTTTGACAGTTTATCATACGAATTCATGCGCGTGTACTCCAATTCATTGGAATTATTTTCCACAACATTAAAGTTTAGTTTGTTTCTATTTCATTTCCCATTTTATGTCCCGTTAATACATCACACTGGGCAATTACGTGACACTAGGTATGCAATATACAGGTACGCGTGCGCGTATTTTAATGGAAAAAACTATTCGTCTTTTATTGTATAACGTCTGGCTGAATATCTCACATTCTAACGACATCTCGAAATAATTATTTAATTACATGCGGTGTCGAACTGACCAGTGGGAATTATGTTTCAATGCGATTGAGGAAAACGTGAGTGAATATTGTGACACTAAAGCAACTTTTAAATGCATTGTCGCTTTTGGTATGAAAATGGTAATAGTTAAGAAAAACGCAACAGCCTTCTTATGATAATTCTCATATTCTCATTAGTACGTTGTATCTAATTACAGTGTCGGCCTTATAGGTGATTCTACAATACCTGCTCTCGGTCAATTACAATCTGCCACACCACGCGTGAATAAACAGTTATGCAGGTGTTGCTGTGGGCAAATACCTACCCTGTACATGTATATTTTTTGTGGATACATGTATAACATATTTTCGTTGATATGTGGATATATTAAGCACAAAGACACAAAAAGTTTATGAAAGATGAATAGGTGCCTTGATATATATATTCAACGAGAATGAATCTTGTATTTTCTCCGCGATCCTGATGTGTAACATCGTTTAATGTGTCATTCATTAAAAGTATGCTCTAATGCGATATCAAAGGAGCCGCTCAATTTACACAGTGTCGTCCGTTTCGCGTGAACTACCACCACACCCTCTCAGTAAGAGTTATGTAATCGGTAATTTGGTGCGATGTCAGCGTGGAAGGAGTTTGAATTACGTCCGCCACTGGCAACAGAAATCCTCATAGTATAGTAACAATCAACAAGGCCAATGTCGTACTATTGACCTAGTGACTCACGTAACAACGGCTATCAATCTGTCTGCTACAGCTACCATACCATCATCCCTGTCACAACTGGCGTATTAACGGCTTATTTAAAATATTAATTGTAGAAAAGTCGATAACAGACTAACGTACGTCGTATTCAGTCCTCAACTGGATGTTACCTTCCTTATATCAGCTAACAGCCCTGTTTGTGAAAATATTTACTAGACATAAGATTTAAAGACTAATGAAATCAATTGTAAGACCGCATAGACCATAAACCCGAATAAAATATGTCTTGGTATCATCTCTTGTGTATTAGATGATGGTAATGACCTGAAATGTTATAACGTTAGATTAAGGAGGAGAAACACTAAAGTGTTTTACAATACTTGGAAACATGAGCAATAACATGTAGCAACATAAACATGCATGGAATAGGGAAAATGGTGAAAACAAATTGAAAAGGATTTTAATACAAAATTATTGAACTAAATAACTTGCCTGAACAGAAGGGGTACCCAAACTTGTTTGACAGTTATTCGTGTGTTGTAGACTGTCGAATGGGACTGTGTGTACGTAGGGTACGCATATCTATTGCAAGTTTTAGTACTCATACACTTTCTCTTTTTGTGATGATATGATTTCTATTTTCGTACATGATATGATTTCATTTTTATCTTTGGCTGCTCTGTTGATATATGTTTGAGAAGCTGTCTGTCCCTACTAAATTGACATAGTTCTGCCTCGCTATTGCATCTCTTGACTACAGGAGATCTACAGCATATAGCGGATCTAACTGCAATTCTTGTTTTAACCAAGCCCGGGTTTGACATTCCAGTAACTGGATTCAGGTTGATTGCAAGATATGCATACCTCGTCATAGTGATTGTTGTGAAGTTTTGTTTCTTTGTTAGTTGTATAACGCCGCACTTAGCAATATTTCAGCTGTATGACGGCGGTCTGTAAATAATCTAAAATGACTATGCTTGTCGTAAGAGGCGCCTAACGGGATCGGGTGGTCAGACTCGCTGTCTTGGTTGATGCATGTCATCGTATCCCAACTGCGTGGATCGATGCTCATGATTGTCAATCACTGGATTGTCTGGTCCAGATTCGATTATTTACAGACCGCCGTCATATCGCTGTAATATTGCTGAGTGTGACGTTAAACAACAAACAAACAAACAAACAAACATCCAAACATCCAAGTAGGATTCAGTTCTATTTTGTGTGCTGACAAATGTAATAAAATGAGGGACTAACGCATTGTTCTAATGTAAGGAATTGAGTCCTTTCATTCCGACAATATGAACCACTTTTTTTATAGTGATGATACAATAAGACAATGATGGCTTAACGTACTAACCTGTCACCTCGAGATCAGCCTGGGTTGACGCTCAGCTTCCACACCCGCCCGTGTACTGTCTTGCTTCAGTCCCCAGCTTCACAACCGCCCGTTGCAGTGTGCTGAGGTAGTACATGCATATTCATCATGGAGGTAAGCGAATCAGGTGACGGGTCATTCTCCATATGCGTTAATGTTGGTTCAGATATAATATACACACAATATTGGTGACTCGTCGAGTGTGTTTGCCGTCACAAGGCGTTCCGGGAATCCCTCCTTTATGAAAACAAGGTCAAATTACCACTCTCCCCCCCAACACCCACCCCGCCAAGTCTTTGGAGAAGTGTATTCAAGACAGGCAGGAATAGTGGTGTATTCATTACACATCGTTCACATTATCATGGATATTCATCCACCTTGAGTTCAGGTCACTCATTATAAACGCTGTCCCCCTGCTTGTGATAATACAGTTGTAGTTGTTGTATGTTGTTTAACGCCGCACTCAACAATATAACAGGTATATGACTGCGGTCTGTAAATAATCGAGTTTGGACCAGACAATCCAGTGATTAATATCATGATCATCGATCCATGCAATATGGGATCGATGACATGCATTAACCAAGTCAGCAAGCCTGACCACCCGATCCCGTTAGTCGCCTCTCACTTATTCATAAAGGAAATAATATATACATCACTCACAGTGAATACATGTTAAATACATCGCTCAGAGTGAAAGGTGGGAAGTATTGTATATACATCATTCAGAAGTCGGTAGTGTATGTATAGCGGACATGTTATATACATCATTTGGAATGAGTGAGTTAAAATTTTAAGTCACGTCGGCAATATTTCACATGGAATGAAAATTGAAGGTGTCTTCATACAGGATATATAATATGCATTACACACAAAGAAATGCTGGAGAGTATATATATATCGGACATGTTATACACATCACTCAGAATGAAAGGTGTAGGTGTATTCATATAGGATATATATTAATATGCATTACTCACAATAAAAGGATGGTGACTATGTATAGCGGACATTTTATATATATATCACTTGGAATGAGTGAGTTATAATTGTAAGTGAGTGAGTGAGTGAGTTGGGTTTAACGCCGCTTTTAACATTATTCAAGTTATATCACGCCGTGTCAGCTTAATGTGGGAGGAAAGCCCGAAGTGATGCAGGTCTAAGACGTTTACCACTTCGGTGAAACCCAAGAGCACGGGTTAAAATTTTAAGTCACGTCGGCAATATTTCACATGGAATGAAAATTGAAGTTGTATTCATACAGGATATATAATATGCATTACCCACAGTGAAATGCTGGTGAGTATATATATATCGGACATGTTATATACATCACTCAGAATGAAGGTGAAGGTGTATTCGTATAGGATATATAATATGCATTACTCACAATGAAATGCTGGTGGGTACATATATCGGACATGTTATATACATCACTCAGAATGAAAGGGGAAGGTGTATTCATATAGGATATATAATATGCATTACCCACAATGAAAGGAAAGTGACTATGTATAGCGGACATTTTATATACATCACTTAGAATGAGTGAGTGTGTTAAAATTTTAAGTCACATCGGCAATATTTCACATGGAATGAAAATTGAAGGTGTATTCATACAGAATATATAATATGCATTACTCACAATGACAGGCTAGTGACTATGTACATAGGATATGTTATTTCCATCACTCAGAATGAAAAGTGAAGGTGTATGCATATAGGATATATAATATGCATTACCCACAATGAAATGCTGGTGAGTATATATGTATATTGGGTATGTTATATACATCACTCAGGATGAATGGTGAAGGTGTATTCATAAAGGAGTTAATGTATATATTACTCATAAAGAAAGGCGAGGGAGTATGCATATCGGATATGTTATCTACATCACTCAGAATGAAGGACGAGAAGTATTGTATATACATCATACAGAAGTCGGTAGTGTATGTATAGCGGACATGTTATATACATCACTCAGAATGAAGGACGAGAAGTATTGTATATGCATCATACAGAAGTCGGTAGTGTATGTATAGCGGACATGTTATATACATCACTCAGAATGAAGGACGAGAAGTATTGTATATGCATCATACAGAAGTCGGTAGTGTATGTATAGCGGACATGTTATATACATCACTTGGAATGAAGGACGAGAAGTATTGTATATACATCATACAGAAGTCGGTAGTGTATGTATAGCGGACATGTTATATACATCCTTTGGAATGAAGGACGAGAAGTATTGTATATACATCATACAGAAGTCGGTAGTGTATGTATAGCGGACATGTTATATACATCACTCAGAATGAAGGACGAGAAGTATTGTATATGCATCATACAGAAGTCGGTAGTGTATGTATAGCGGACATGTTATATACATCACTCAGAATGAAGGACGAGAAGTATTGTATATGCATCATACAGAAGTCGGTAGTGTATGTATAGCGGACATGTTATATACATCACTCAGAATGAAGGACGAGAAGTATTGTATATGCATCATACAGAAGTCGGTAGTGTATGTATAGCGGACATGTTATATACATCCTTTGGAATGAAGGACGAGAAGTATTGTATATACATCATACAGAAGTCGGTAGTGTATGTATAGCGGACATGTTATATACATCACTCAGAATGAAGGACGAGAAGTATTGTATATGCATCATACAGAAGTCGGTAGTGTATGTATAGCGGACATGTTATATACATCCTTTGGAATGAAGGACGAGAAGTATTGTATATACATCATACAGAAGTCGGTAGTGTATGTATAGCGGACATGTTATATACATCACTTGGAATGAAGGACGAGAAGTATTGTATATACATCATACAGAAGTCGGTAGTGTATGTATAGCGGACATGTTATATACATCACTCAGAATGAAGGACGAGAAGTATTGTATATGCATCATACAGAAGTCGGTAGTGTATGTATAGCGGACATGTTATATACATCACTCAGAATGAAGGACGAGAAGTATTGTATATGCATCATACAGAAGTCGGTAGTGTATGTATAGCGGACATGTTATATACATCACTTGGAATGAAGGACGAGAAGTATTGTATATGCATCATACAGAAGTCGGTAGTGTATGTATAGCGGACATGTTATATACATCACTCAGAATGAAGGACGAGAAGTATTGTATATACATCATACAGAAGTCGGTAGTGTATGTATAGCGGACATGTTATATACATCCCTTGGAATGAAGGACGAGAAGTATTGTATATGCATCATACAGAAGTCGGTAGTGTATGTATAGCGGACATGTTATATACATCACTCAGAATGAAGGACGAGAAGTATTGTATATGCATCATACAGAAGTCGGTAGTGTATGTATAGCGGACATGTTATATACATCACTTGGAATGAAGGACGAGAAGTATTGTATATACATCATACAGAAGTCGGTAGTGTATGTATAGCGGACATGTTATATACATCACTTGGAATGAAGGACGAGAAGTATTGTATATACATCATACAGAAGTCGGTAGTGTATGTATAGCGGACATGTTATATACATCACTTGGAATGAAGGACGAGAAGTATTGTATATACATCATACAGAAGTCGGTAGTGTATGTATAGCGGACATGTTATATACATCACTTGGAATGAAGGACGAGAAGTATTGTATATACATCATACAGAAGTCGGTAGTGTATGTATAGCGGACATGTTATATACATCACTCAGAATGAAGGACGAGAAGTATTGTATATACATCATACAGAAGTCGGTAGTGTATGTATAGCGGACATGTTATATACATCACTTGGAATGAGTGAGTGAGTTACAATGTTAAGTCACGTCGGCAATATTTCACTGTGAATGAAAGTTGAAGGTGTATTCATAAAGGATATATAGTATGCATTACTCACAATGAAAGGATTGTGAGTGTGTATATCGGAGATGTTATATACATCACTGAAGGTGTATTCATATGGGAGTTACTGTATATATTACTCATTAAGAAAGGCAAAGGAGTATGAATATCGGATATGTTATCTACATCATTCAGAATAAAGGGCGAGAAGTAGAGTATATACATCATTCAGAATAAAAGTCGGTGGTGTATGTATATCGGACATGTTATACACTCAGAATTAAAGGTTAAGCTGTGTACATATAGGATAAACAGTGGATTGTTTTGCCCAGTCTGAATTATTTACAGACCCCCGTCATAAACCTGGAATATTGCTGTTAACATGGCACAGTTGGCACGGTTGTTTCGAATTAAAGAGTTTTATTCCTTGCTACACCACCATCTTACATCCCCATTGCGAAAACGATACATGCTTAGGACATATTCACTTGTCGGTTAGCGGCGTTAGGTACAACTCACACACCCGTGTGAACACACAGACTGGCGCGACGAGCGGTGATGGGCATATTATAAACTACAATTTCCAGACCAAAGATTGGTGTTGAATATAATTTTGTTTGTTTCGGGCGTTGACGGTTTCCATGTTTTATGTATTGAATCAACTTTGAAATACCTCTGTGTTACCCTGGAGTATATCTTGTTACTGTAAATTTAGAAAGCATGGCACCTGTATCTTATCAGCGGTTAATTATCTGCAAATATTTTTGATCTACAAAATTATTAAACAGACCAGTAATAAATCGAAAGGTAGTTTCTTTCTAAATATCTTCATCCGCACATGTTTGGCGTGGCAAATCGTGAAGTACTTTCTGTGTGTGCAGGCTTGTGACTGGGGTGGTATCAGCTGTATTTGTTTCCTCTGTTTCGGGCTTGGGGAATGGGAATGCTATATAATTTGTCTGGTTTGCTCTTTGTCCCGAACGTTGGTGTTTTCACCAGTATCCTTCGTCGTAAGCGTGCCATCAAACATCGCTCGGGATTTATGCATCGAGTCCCACACAAATCAACTTTCCTTTTTGAAACATTAAGGACCAATCATTTGATCTTTAAGGGGGGTAGGGGGATAGTGGTGAAGATAACAATAAAAAAAATATAAAATTATGAGTTCAATTATGTTTTTCAACATAAACAGGTGCTAAATTATTATACATAAAGAAAAATAACGAAATGTA